AGAGAGAAAAAAAATTGTACCTTTAGTCTTTCTGATAATGGTTTATCAGGAACCACTTCAAGTACAGAAATATTTGAATCCTGACTGTTCACACGCGTTACAGTGGCACTGCTAACAGTTCTCTGCTTCCCAGCTCTTATTGCAATCACGTGTTCAGAGAGCAAGTGGTCGTGATCCTCATTTGGGGTGTCTAACAGGATAAAGACCAAATCAAATCTGGATAGCAGAGCACTCCCCATTCTATAAGGCATGAAAGAAAGAAGAAAAAATGGAATCAAGTATGCTGAATACCTACAAAACCATTTACTCATCTGTTTACTATTTGAGTTCAAAGGAGAACTTAGAAAAGGTTTAAGGTTAAAGAAATGACCAACAATGTTTGGATTTAATACACCAGCTCCAGACAGACACCACATCACATGCCCTTTCACAGGCACAGTTTGGGAACACATTTCTCACATAATCAAAATCACTGAATTCTTTGTTATAACTTAGGATCATTGAATTTTTTTTTTTTAAAGATTTATTTGTGCATACAGAACTGGGGTACAGGCCAGAGGTGCATGGGTGGTGAGAGGATTCACTAGAGACAGAGCAGGGAACAGAACAATGAAGTACACTGCTGAGGAGAGCAGTGGGCAGTCAGGAGAGGTCTGCCGCTGCGCAGTGTGGGTCACCTCCAGGGTAGGTGGGGACTGAACTCTTGCAGAAGTGGCTTTAGCTTCTTAGTGCTATGCTTTAACCCGCTGTGCTACCAGGAAGGGCCTGGATCATTGAATTTTTAAGCTAAAATAATACACAATATATCAGAGTGTATCTCGTTGAGTGGTTCTTATTTTCCCTATCCATGGGAGTGATAGACAATGTCATAAACATTATCTTGTACATTTATGTGACTATTTCTGAGTATGACTCCCAAAAGTAGAACTGGCTGGACCAAACAAAATGTACATTAAAATAGTGATAAGGAGGATTCAACATATTAAATGTATAAATATTTGAAAGGACTTACTTTAAATTCTCAGAAACTGTTTTGGCTTTATTGTAATGTCCTCCAATTGGATTTGCAGCAGCAATAATAGACGTTCTTGCAGGAAGGCTACATACCACACCAGCCTTAGCAAGACTAATACTTTGCTGCTCCATAGCTTCTAACAAAGCTTGATGTTGATTCCCCATCTTGTCAAATTCATCTATTCCACAAATACCTACATCCACAGTAAAAAAAACAGGCAAAATAGTTTCCTTTATCGAGTTCCAAACCTTACATGATTGATATTATTCCTATTATTCTACAATAAAAATTTACTTCTAGCAGTTAAAGTTACTGAAATTCATACAGTAGAGAATTTCTTCTTGTTTTACAGCAAAAACAAAAAAACAAAACCCACATTCATTCAACATTTGAGAATTATTACTAGTCAGCACTTTTTATTATTACATGAAATGCATTATGTTGTGAAGGTTACAGAGATGCAGAAGATATGTGCGCAACCCTCAAAACAAAGATTTAAATTCAAATAAGTGAGTTAAGATATACACATATTCACGACAGCGTATTAAAGTCACTTTAAGAAATGCTTATCATCAGATAATGTGAATTTTCTGGAGCTTGAGAGGTTAAGAAAGAGAATGGACAATCTAGAAAGGTTTCAACAAAACACCTATTTGAGCTGGGTCTTTTGGGAACTGTAGGACAGCAGGATTTGGGAAGAGCATGGGGGCTGCAGTTAGAAGACTCAAGTGCAACTCGCAGCAATACCAGGGATTACGTAGTACCACTGACACCAGAGAAGAGACCATCACCACCTGAAGGCATTTTATGTGATGGTACACTGTATCTAATCCATTAGTTACTGCAGGCTCTCTACCTTATCCTTCCTTTTCTCCTGCCCAAATTAGCTAGTTATTTACAGAAGACTGTTATTGTAAAAACCCCTCTATATCCATTCAGTAACCAAGTAAGTCATGCCATATTTGAACGGGGGAGATTAGGGTTTTGGTTTTGGACATATTCAGTGTGAGAAAGTTGTTGAGATCCTGAATCGACAATAAGAAACATGTGCCTAAAGTTCAAGAGAGAAATACAAATATGGAAACTTCTAGTATAAAGGTAAGGTAAAGAAATAGATAAAATCCCGAAGACAGATAGAGAAGTAAAAAGTACAAAAACTAAAACTAAGCACGCTGAGGTGCCAGTTAAGAGGGTGGGGTAATGACAGTGAAGATTCTGGTGATACAGTTAAAAAAAAAAAAAGGTTACTTCTTGCTAAGCCCTCCAAATGGATTTCCTATAAATTATCAGTTTTATCTGGAAAAACAAAAACCAATACAATGAGATAGGTTAAAATATGGCAAACTTCATTCTAAAGTGACAACTCTAAATTCTTACTGCAAGTCACCTGAGAGCAAAGGATAACACCTTTCATTTTAAGAGTGGAAATTTATTTCGTTCAGATAAATTCTTCCCTCTGACAAGATATATAATGTTATGTATGAATGGTAAGAAATCCTAAATTTAGTTTGTCCCATGAAACCCAGAAATGGTCTATCTTCACTATCCCTCAATTTAAGTTACATTTATTAAGTATGCAAATGGCAGCAACGGCTTACATTCAGGAAATTAGGCATGGCATGGCAATGTGATCATTCCTTGGCTCACAAACTGAGCAAGTAACAGCAAAGACACTCACCAGCAACTGTCAACGAGCCTTTTTCAACTTTCTCACATCAAAGACACAGAGCCCCACTGGGATGCAGTTACCTTAACCCAATACCACTGCATCTTATTTTTTACAGAGCACATTTGAAAACATCCCACTTAACTTATCCCTTCAGATGACAAATATGTCTTTTATTTAACTGCCATATACAATAACTACCAATATGTGAATAAAAATATGCTCTGCTATTTTCTTTATTCTGGGAGGATAGAAAGTAATTCAGTTGTATGTTAAGATTTGCGATATATTGCCAAAATTAAGATAGAAACGTTAATCATGACCAGGCACACATTGGCAGCTAGCATAAACCCAGCACTAGCAAGTCAGATGCCTAAAGCTGTTTGCTTCCAAGGCCCACTGCCTCCAATCTTCCCTCTGATTTTGACAACTGTCATCAATTTTCTACTCATATTGGCATCTTCGATTGCCTAATTAAGAACTCCTTTCACTGACAGTAATGACAGAGGTTATCTCACTGTACATTCACTTTTGTCCTGCCTTATTATAAAGTGGCTGGGATGTGACCTTTTGTCACCTCCTCTTTATCAAATGCTCTCTGCTATGGCCCGCCAGAATATTGCGGGGCCTAGGTGGCTTGGTCTGAGTTAAGCAAGCAGGATAGAATAGATTATTTTTTTCACACTCCTTAATCAATTGGTGGGCAACTACTAGCTTGGCGAACAACCAGAATAGAAAAGTTCCATTCTGTGCACAGTATATGCATAAGTTCTCCTCAGGGCTATAGCCATATCATCATGACTAATCCAGGTAGCTACCTCCAGTTCTCATAAGATCTCTGTCCTCCCTGGCTTCACAGCTGCAGAAGCTATTATGAGTGAGCTATCAGGAAAGAGCCACCTCTGCTGCAAATTCCTGTCCGAGAGTCCCGTCTGACCTGAGAGGTGGATAGTAAAGAGGCATTCTTACTCTCAGTTCAATGAAAGACCCTTTGAACTGTTTCTATTGCTGGATTAAGGAAGCATTTATGTAAAAGGAGCTACCTAGACCTCCATCCAGTAAACCATGCTTCAAGATGTTCAGAACTTCCCATCAACACAGAATCTTCTTTTTTTTATATCTGGCCCAGACTACCCAGGAGCCTTTCCAACTCTAATAGGCTATGCTAGAGGACCATGTATTAATGTTCTGACTTTTGAAGGAAAGGAGGAAGGTTATGAAAGGAATAAAATGCTCCTGTCTGCTGGGCTTTTCAATATGCATCATCATCTTTCAGTTCAAATAAATGCCATGTCCATGTCTTAGTGACTGATAGTGGTTGAGGGCAGCCTATAGCACTAATAAGATTTTCTCCTGCAAGCAATTCCATGATACTGGGGCAGTGTCAAGTCTCTGAATTCTCTTGGGGTGCTTTCCTAAACCTCAAGCAACATTCAGCTTCTTTTCAGTCCCAAGGCATCTAGCTGTGTTCTGAGCTACATAATAGTAATTCATTCAACAAGCATTTACTGTGCACCTATGAACTAGGCAATAAGAATATGGTAGTCAACAAGATAACCAAATTCATCGCACAGGGAATATATAATAAAGCTTTAAAATAGGCTTTAAAACAAATTATCACAAATGTGATGGATAGTATGTAATGGAAAACATATGGAATTATATTTGATCTGATTATTCTTACATGTAGTTGTAATCACTGCATGGTTTTGAAAATGAAGTACCAGTTTCAATTCTTCAGTACATATAAAAATTATAACAGCACTGGTTTTTCTTTTTTCCTGGTGTTCATTGTCAACTCACTGTTTTGGACATGCTTCCAAATACCTCTTGCACAGAATGTAAATAATAACGTAATTAAAAAGGCAAAGCCCTTAAAAAACAACCACCATCCAGAATCATTATGATCTCTCTAGCCTCTTACCTTGGTCACCAAGTACCAGAGCACCAGCTTCCAAAGCAAAATCTCCATAAGAACTATCTTTTGAAAGAGTTACAGTCAAACCAGAGGTTGTTGTGGTATTACCACAAACATACACACCACGTGGCGCAACATTGCACACAGCCTAAGAAAACAAAAAAATTTAAGAGCATTAGCTAAAGAGCATTAGCATAAATAGTGAAGAGTAATTACTCAAAATGTAAAATGTTGGCAACATGTCACTTATCTTCCTAAGCGCTTTGCTGCAGAATTTTCACCTCGACAGTAAGAGGAAAGTATTATTATATCTCCACTGACTAATGTGGAGACTGATGCATACAGAGTAACTTACACAGCTCTGAAGGTGCAAAGTCAGGATTCAGTCAAACCCCGGGAGCCTGACTGATCTGTAGTGAGCATGCTACACAATTCTATTTTATGCTTTGCTTTGAAGTTCAAATAGTATAAACTGAGTACCAATTTCATCTTAGAAGAGTCCAATGCTTCTTTAAGCAGGTAATAAAATGAATAAAATGAATGCTCACCTGGCTAAACAAGGTATAGCAGATCAGAAAAGCAATCAAATAACACAAGAGTTGAAAGCATGGAGCTCTGGACTCAGGCAAATGTTTAAATCCTGGTTCTAAGCTGTGCTTTTCTCAGATTTCTCTGAGCCCAGCTTTCTTACGATTTACAACATTTTTGTCCTGAGGCATAAATGCAATCATGTATACAAGGCACTTAATTGCCTGTTCGCACACAATAATTGCTCAACACTGCAGTACACAGCTGCACACTACACCACTCTAAGAGACAGTGTTCACACTACTATCTATGTCACTAGCATGCTCTGGACTGATGCAGTGGACAACCTAAGAAAGCCTCTGGTGCCTTGCCTAATAAACAGTAATTATCATTTATACTGTTACTTGCAATTCCTTATTTGTTAGTCTGAGGGGATGATGGTGAACATCTGACTAGAAGACAATAGAATTAAAAACACAAAGTAAATGACTGATAACTGTTAGCATTAGGCTGGTTTTTAAAAACTTAGCTTAATGGGGCTGTATACACAATACCCTCCATTGTTTACAACAGCTACTATATCTAAATTAGTCAAGGGTTTAAAAGGCATTATTCCAAATTTAACCAACAGAAAACAATGTTACTTCTTCATATTAAGAGTTTTGTAGTACCACTAAGTGTACTTTGGGATGGTTATCTACCAAGAGGTATTTCTTAAATAAGAGAAAGAGAAAAACGGGAGTTTTATATAATGTAAGCAAAATGCATAAATTAAAGTTTAAGATAATCCAGATAGTCCAACACTGTGGAGATTAAAGGAGACTTCCACCAATAACACACATGGTGCTACAAAACATAGAGATGAAAGTGTCTCCACATGCCCCTTCACATGCGCGCTCTGGCTAAGTATACTGTCTCCATTATGCACATCAATCTTCTTCCATAACTAGAGACTCTGCCTCAGTGGTAGGCAGGCAGCAGAGCTCAGAACAGAAAATATTTTAGAAGTAGGTCCAGTTGGTCAAAAGAAACAAAATATGGATGAACTAGTACAGTAAGAATGAAAGTGATGACTGGATTAACACTCAGCCATAGAGAATAAAGATCGACATGAAGAGTATTTTCCATGCAATGACATGATCAAAGCAGTTCTCAATCCTGCCTGCACTTTGGAATCAACCACCTATACAGACACTAGAATGCTAACCCAGAAGGTCTTAATTCAACTAGTCTGGGGTGGCCCATGGTATTTTCAAAGAGCTCCAAAAGCGACTGATAGGCAGCAAGGGTCCTAACCCCTGGACAAAGATGTGTAAGTCCTGAGACTAACACTAACCAAGGAACCAAGAAGCACTCGGTTTAGTCACGATTTTTGACACGGGTTAGGGAGGGGTCACTTAGAAAGGGCATTACCCAGTGTCACTCCAAGAAACGCATTCCAATAACAGTACTATCTAGGGCCAATATAAGGCCTGAAGGAAGGAACTACAAGGCGTATTGGCAGAGGCAGACCTTGGATACCAACATCAAATTAGTCACAGAGGTGTCTTGCTTTAGACTTAGAGAAAGAAATGTATAGAGTTTCTAAAATCCAATACAAAGTTTTTGTAGCTATGTGAAGAAAGAATGAGTGACTCTGCTTTACTGTCTCAAACTATTCTGTTCATAAGTGAGGTCATAATAGAGATGAACAAAGTTAGCCTGGGTACAAATGCTGGACACACAAAAAAGGGAGAGGGAAATGGTTAATGTTTTACAAGAGATGCTGTCTTAACAGAAAATGCCTATGGAGCCTGAGATTGGCTTGATTTGAAAGAACAGTCAGATGTACATTAAATATTACCTATACAAATTAATTCACTTATACCATCAGACAAACCACATCCTCTGGAACACAAAGGCTACATACTTTCAGCAAATTCATTGGTAAATTATTCACAGATTTATAAAAGACTGATTTTTACCTGTAGCATCTGACTCTTTCCCAAGCCTGGGTCTCCCACAACAAGGATGTGTGGGTCTCCTCGAATAGGAATTCGGTTTTTATCATCTGCATATTTCTGGCTTCCTCCAAAGAGTGCTAATGCCAAACCTGCCTTGACAAGCTCAAGTGTGAAGGAAAAAACAAAAAGCCAAAAGGAAAATGAATAGTCAAAGGGGTAGTTTATATAAAATGTATACAAATATATAAACATTTGTATATATACACGTTTGATATATTTACAAATATGTCTGTATTTATGTGTGCAAATATAAATACATATGTAGAATATGTACACACATTTGTATGTATTTGTATACCCAAATATACATATTATATATATACAAAGTGTATATATTTTGTAAATATAAAGCACTGGGGATTTTTTTTTTTTTTAATTAAAAAGTTGCACTGGGGATTTTTTAAAGCATGATTGAACTTTAGTTCTTTCCTATGAAAAAGTCTAAAAATATAAATATCTATAATATAAATGACTTTTAAACAAAAGTTAGAAAGCATAAAAAATCAGAAAGGTACCTTAACAGTCACTAAGCAAAGATCCACCTTGCAAGGTGTGAGCCCATTCCACACAACTAAAAAGTAATCTGTTAGTTTCTGCTTTAACATTTACAGTGTCCAGAGTCACGTTAAAAGAAATCCATCCTCTAACTCTAATTGGTAAGAATTTTTTCTTACCAATGGCTATATTTTGCCTGTTGCATCATTAATCTATAGAGAATGAATCATATTGAAATATGAATAATTAGCCAACAGAAATCATCTGTATTTTTATATTTATTTTAGTCAACCTTACATATATTTGAGTAAGATAAAGTAAAATACTTACTTCATGACCAAAAATGACAGGGCAAAGGGAGCTGAAAAACAGAATACAACTTATAAATTCTAATTAACACTTCACTAATCCATTAGAAGACCTACAACTTGCTTGTTTTAAATAGCATCATGAAAGACTAAAATTTATATCCCATCAAATAACTTAAATTTTATTCTAACAATAAATTTCTTAAGATCATTGGCTAATCTAGAGAGGGAAGAATGCTTTAAAAACCATGTACATGTGTAATAAAACTTCAGGTAACTTCATACATACTTGACAATGAGTTTAAACAAGTTTTCTTCCGCTTGAATCTCTTGGATGGCATAAAGGTCTTTAAGCGAGAACTCCATCAGTGACCCATGCTTACTTCCATCCTCAGAAGTCTTTGTTTTCTGTCCTTTGCTATTGCTAACAGAATTTGCTTCAATGTACAAAAGGAACATGCATTTGTCATTCTTATTTCGAGAACCTGTAAATGTCAAAGTATTAAATATGATTTAGTATTAAATACAGTATTTTCATTTTCCTTACAAAAATTCAAGTATGTGCAAGAAAAGCACAATATACTCTTTTAAAGGAAAACTTCATCTATGTAAAAAACAAGGAATTCCCTAAGTTAATAGAGATTCAGAAATACCTTAAAAAGAGAAGCAATTAGTAATGACACTTTGTGAGGGGCAACCAAAATGAGGGAAGAGTTACATCATACCTTCTTCTGCATTTGACACTTTGACAACTCCAGTAATAGTCACGTTGTCACCAGGGACACAGCTATCCACTAGATCATGAAAAAGCTCACATTCTATTGTTCGTGGTATCCGACCTGCTTCTCGTTGATCATCAGACATCAGCTCCTGGATTCTAAAAGGTTAAACAATGTTTAGTTAGTACACATATTAACTGAGTACTTTCTTCAGCATTCTAATGCTTCAGGGTCCACATAGTGCTGAGCCATATAAAGAGCAGGTTAAAAGACAGCCAACTGTGTGTCTAAAATTAATCTAGCAGTTTCCAACTAAGGATGACAGGATGAGCATTACTTTATTTACCTACCCTCACTCCAATATGTCCACAAAAATGGCAGTCTCTAAAAGAGTGTACAATAGTTTTGGGATATGCAGAAATGGCACAACAAATAAGGGATATTGAAGGAATTTTAGAAAACAACAAATGGGAAAGTAATAAAAGATAAAACAATTCAAGTACAGAATACATACAGGAAAAGGCTGCAAGGATGCAACAGTTACAAGAGAAACAATGTTTACAGCAAAGCCATAGAGTATCCTGTGCTGGAGTTGGCAGGAAAGAGAGTGGTACTAAACTCAAACAAGCAAACAAAAACAAAAAACCAGGATTATCAACTGAAAGACAAGTTACAGAACAGCTTTTCATAATTTATTCCATTTGGAAGGTGGCTGTGTGGGTAAGGAAGAAATGGGGGCATTCTAGCAAGCCACCAGTCTTTCCATTTGCTGGAACCATAGTACTGTTCTAAGAAATGGACCTGTCCACTGGGAGCTATGACACCCAGGGAGGATTTCAGAGTTTCAGAATAAGACGCCTCATGCTGACATTTGAGCCCACCTCCAATTCAAAAATACATCCATAAAGCAAGATCTGATCATCAAAACACTATTTTCTTACCCAAGGTAAAGGTTTTGAGGAAAATCCCTACCTACAAAATAGGAAACTTATCCTGCCTAATCCAAATACTTTCTCATTCCTCACCAGATATTTGAGGGTAAAGTGGCAATAATTCACTTTGGGAGATGAGCCTTACCTTGGACAGGCCTTGGTAGCAATCTACCTCACGTTTTTCCCCAAGTTCTTAGTTTGTTTTTTTTTAAATCTTATTTCAGTTAAGTTTCCTTGACAGCACTGTGCCTTCAAAACTCAATTATTTTATATTTAGGGAAGAGTTTAAGTCAGAAAAAAATACATGGAATAAATTGTTGAATTAAAAATACACAAGAAAACAGTTTTTTTTAAATTAATATAATGCTTCATGGGTTGAAAGAAAACATTCCCATTTCTTTGAGACTTTAAAGCAGTATTATTCCTATCACAGTTCAGTGCTATATGAAACACATAACTACAATATATCCAGTAAGTTCAGTAAGTTACATAAACAAAATACAAAATGAACTATTTCATTCATTTTATGTGAAATAGGACAGACATAAGTAGTAAAAGAACTTAATACTAAAACATCAAATTTTTTCTGGAATCTGACAATTAGAAATTTCAAATAAAGATAACTATCTCAACACATACTACAGGAACTCTTAAAGAAAACTTTTCTTACATATCACTGCCTAAGACAAGATCACAGATAAGCATCAGAATATGGGAAAATTATTGATCTATTCAGGAGATACCTAAAACCTGCCTTTTATCATCTGATTGCTTACTTGATTGACTGCCAGTCCACTGTAACTGTGAGAGGAGAACCTCGGACAGCACTAAATGACTTCCCTCGACATGCAGGCACAGGACACTGCAACAAGAATGATTCACATTCAGATTCTGCTAAACTATAATATCTCAGATAGTTTCAAGTTAATATGCTTCATTTTAATGTTGTTTAAAAAGTTGGTCTCAGAATGATATTAAAGTAAAATGCACTAAAAATTGCAATGACTTTCTTTTTCCTTCTGCATCAGTCCTGTGTGATGACCTTTTTCAACTGGTCTCCCTCATTACGGCTCTTACTCTTTTTGCTGCAAGGCTCCTGACCCCTTTCCCACATGAAGAACTTACTCTTTTGTGCCTATACAGTCTCCCAATTCTTGAACACCTTCCTCCATTCTGTCCTATATCCAGCCTTAATCTCCTCTTTCCAAAGCTTTTACTGGGTCTTTTTTAATCCCCAACTCTCTCATTCAGCCTCTGTGCTACAGAAATATAGTATAATATTTACTGTACTATACAGGACATCCTTAACATATAAGTAAGCTGCACTCAAACTTTCTTAAGTCATTTGTTTGCTGTATGGACTTTGAAAAGCATTTATAAATTTAGTTATTAAAACACTGTATTTTCCCAATATAGTGGGAGCAACATCTGATAAGTCTTTCTAGAAGCTTGCCACATCCCCATCAAGACATGAAGTCTAGTTTCCTTTTGCTTAGAATCTGGATAGACTTGTAGCCAACAGAATGTGGCAGATGTGATGTTACATCTCTCCTGAGGCTGGCTCAAAAGAAGGGAAAGCCATTTCTGCCTGTCAACTGCACCTCTCTCTCTTTTGAGGCTACCAGCAAAAATGTAAGCAGACCTGAACTCCCATGCTGTGCTAAGAAGCCAAAACCATTCTACACAGAAAAACCATTTGACTGAGAGATGCCCAGTCAACCCCCAAAGAGTTCAGACCCTGTTCCAGCTCCAGCTACCATGACTACCACAGTGAAGCAGTTTATCCAAACTCCTGACCTAAGGAAATCATGAGAAATTAAATGATGGTGATTATATTAAGTACAAGTTTTAGGACGATTTGCCATGCAGCAATAGTAACTAGAAGAAAACACCTGCAACACCACCTTTCTGGTCACTTTAATTAACTGAAGTTCAGACCCAGGTGGAACTTCCTCACAAACTCACTTCTTCACAGAAATCACCTAAGACAGGATCATTATCCATGTATTCAAGGACATGTAAATATCTGTAATACTGTTTGCTGAAAATACACAATTTTAGTCAGGATTTAAATTCTAGCCTCTGAGTTAAAGGCACGATCTGAAATAAGCTGAGACAAATAGTAGAGACACCCACTTATCAACGCCACTTATTATCCAGAATCAATAACTGAATCTAACATACCTGTTCTTCCTGTAAGAGAAGGAAGTCTTAAGAACTTCAAATTGAGTAAACATTTAATAAACATTAAATGTATTAAAGTTCAAGAAAGGCAGCAGCACCTCTAGAAAATAGACATTGCATGCCACCATGACTTATCAAAAGTTTTAATAAGATAAACATAAATTAGATCATATGGAGCTGGTATAGGATCAATGAAATGAAACAGATTCACACATTGATAGGAGTACAGAGGGAACAGGGTGTAACTAACAAATGGTGAAAAGTGATGTTTCACTTAAAGGGATAAAATCATATCCCTAGTTTCATGTCATTCATGAAATTAAATTCCAGGTGGACAAGAGAGCTACATATAAAAAATAACATATAAAAAATAAATCTTAAAAGTATTAGAAGAAAGTAAAAGAAAAAAACATTGTAGTGTTTAAGTGACATCTTCATAAAGCAGGACAAAAAAATTGTTCAGTCATAAAAGATGATGTACTTAATCACGTCAAAATGTAACCATACAACAAAAAATGCCACAAAATAAGACCAAAGAAAAAAAAACTAAGACTAGAAGATATCTCTAATATCAATAACGACTAATCCCTAGAATCCATAAAGATCTCCTATTAATAACGTGAATAGAAAATTTAATGAAAGAAACTTACTGGCCAATAAAAATGTAAAAATACATTCAACTTAACAGAAATTCATATTAAAAATGAAATATCGGCCCTCCCTGGTGGCACAGCGGGTTAAAGCACAGCACTGAGAATCTAAAGCCGCTTCTGCATGAGTTCGATTCCTGCCTGCCCCAGAGGTGACCACCTGGTGTGGCAGACCTCTCCTGACCCGCTTGCTGCTCAGCAATGTACTTCGTCGATCTGCCTGTTCTGTTCCCCACTCTGTCTCTGTTGAGGCCTCTCACCGCCCCTGAGCCTCTGGCCTGTACCCTAGTGCTGTATGCACAAATGAATAAATCGTTAAAAAGAAAAATGAAATATCATTTCAAACCCATAACACCTGTAAAAATTGAAGTCTAATAATACCAATGTTAATGAAAATACGGGGAAATGGTAACTGCTTTATACTACCAGAAGGGGGTTAGTTAGAACAACATTCTGGAAAGCAATTTAACATCTAATTAAGTTAAAAGTAAGCATAGCCTATAACTGAGAAATTCCTCCACTAAAGAAACATGCACAGGAATGTTCTCTGCAATATTATTTGTAATTGCAAAAAACTGGAAACACAATGTCCTCCAGGAGAATGTATAAATAAATAGTAACTAGTCAATAAATGGAATGCTTCACAACAACAGAAACACAGAATTAGATTTGGCTCAAGTTAGAACTCCAACATAACCAATTTAAAAAGAAAGTTGTGGGCCCTCCTTGGTGGCGCAGCGGGTTGAAGCACAGCACTGAGAATCTAAAAGCCGCTTCTGCATGAGTTCTATTCCCGCCTGCCCCGGAGGAGACCACATGGTGTGGCAGACTCTCCTGACCCGCCCGCTGCTCCCCTCAGCAGTGTACTTCGTCGATCTGCCTGTTCTGTTCCCCACTCTGTCTCTGGTGAAGCCTCTCACCGCTCCTGAGCCTCTGGCCTGTACCCCAGTTCTGTATGCATAAATAAATCTTAAAAAAAAAAAAAAAGAAAGTTGTAGAATATTATACACATTATAATATTTACCCAAACACAAACAAGAAAACAAACCCTACTTATATAATCAAGTGTGAAAATACAGACTGTGAGAATACATGCTGATTTCAGAATAGTGGCTGCCTCTAGGTGTGGAACAAACTGAGTGGAATTGGGGAAGGTACAGGGTGACTTCAATTTTAACTGTAATTTATTTAAGTCACAAAATATTAATAATAATGCCAACTCTAATAATGGGTATAAGATGTTACTTTCTATGTGTTTTCTCATAGTTTAAAAAAAAGTTAAAAAAGGAACACATCGTTTTCAAACAGTAGACTAAAGGAAACAAAAATGTGATGTGTGTAACGATTAAGCTAACAATATAAAACAGGAATGAAAAAGAAACACATTAACTTCAGGATGATTGTTTCTGGGAATGTACAAGGAATGAATGAAAATGAGAAAAATTCTATCATGTATGCCTCACATGTTCAGAAAATATATCTGGAGCTGGGTGATGGACAAAGGAATATTTATGTCTTTACTTCCCTGAAGTATTTCATAACTTAAAACTGAAAACAGAAATCTTTATGTTCAGAACAAGATGGGAAATACTTTCTGCAAAAATGTATTTACCTCTGTACCAAGATAAATAGTTGAAGAACATGGTATTACCTTTGTGGGAAGATTATATTTTCCATCTGGAAGAGAAAAACTCTGAACGTCTCCACATGCAGCACAAACAAATGCCATTTTGGTGCAAAGAGGCTTTATATTACTGACACGAACAACTGTCCCTCGTAGAGCAATGTATTTTCCATAGCAATTTGCTCGGACACTCTTGAGATGTGTCAAAGGCTCATAGTTGTATACCCTAAAAGCAAAACCAGAAACATATTTTTCTATGAATTGGCAATGAACAGAAAATTGAGTATGCCTGTATCTTCACAATTCCCTTTTAGGAACAACTATGGGAATCTCAAACCATATTATATTCATGCATATCTGAAATTTCATAAGAATCCTGTCATTCTTCTCTGTGAAAAGGAACAGTTACCAGAGGAGAGGAAACACGGGACAGGGGATGGAATGGGAAGGTAAGAGTGTGCTGGCACTGGGGCACTGGCGGAAAGGAAGTGAAGCTTGTGCACTGAGGAGTGAAGTTGTGCTCCCAAAATTATAGTTATGTAAACAATGGCAAATAATAAATGTGATTTTTAAAAAAGGTAAGTCATTTTTAAGAAAATAAAAAATGTTAAATCTCTTTTCTTCTTGTCCCACTGGGAAAAAGGGCAAAAAGAAAAAAAGAATGCCAAAAAGAAAGACTATAGATTCAGCAACTTGAAAACAGATTTTCTAACTTCCTTTTCAAGACCTGTTAGGAAATGCCTTCTATGAATTCTGGAAAAGAACAACGAAGCCTGATGACAACTATAGACATCTCTTCCTGTGAGAATTTAAAATCAAAATATAATAATGATGGGTTAAACTCTATTTGTTCTCTGTGTTTAGTAGAAAATCACTAATTTTAACAAAATATAATCATACCACTTAGTGTAATACATACATTGCTAGATTTAAACAATAGGGTCTTGATAAGTACATACCCAAAGTCAATGTTGACAGAAATATACAGGCTAGGAATCATCTACTTGGGCAGAAAAGACTTATTTCTGTCAAAATCTTTTTGAAAAATTCTCTATGTGTTCACTTGGCTTTGAAGAGCAATAACGTAGCAAGGAATTCATACTTTTCACCAATTTCTTTGGCTTTATAAAATGAGGTTCTCCTTCTCAAATGGCCATCAATGCCCAGTTTTAAACACTATTTTTATACCAGAAAACCACTCACCTTGCATGAATCTGTGGAACATTTACTATTGTTTCCCCATTTCTTGACAATCCTTCCTGGGCTTGTAATTCAGCTGCATGCCTTTCAAGGTCCTTTGTTAAAACCTAAACAGGACAGACACTTACTCAAAAGCTAGAAAATAAAACGTCCCCTTACAGAAAAATACTACAGGGAATATTAAGTTTATGAAGATAAACAGTTCAGATGAGAGTATTAACAGAATTCTAGTAGCCCTTAAAAAGTGATAGTTAATTATGACTACTTATTATATAGTGGCTTCTGATTTACTTGAGATTTTTGCTATTCCTGGATGGAAAACTGTTGCATCTCTTGTCTGCTTCCTTTTTACCATAAATAGAACTGTTACTAAAATTCCTTATAGTAGCCCCTAAAACTATTACCTCCTGTACAGGTTAGGGTGAGAAAATATTTTCTACTTCTCCATATTAATAGTCAAAATAGAAAATAAAGATGTCTTTCAAAATACCTAATACTTACTCACTTAGCATTTGATATTAGATGAAATAAGTATTATCTACTTGTGTACAAAGCAGTATGTTAATTATCCGAGAGAAAATGAGATGCACATACACAGCTACAAATCTTACAGGATCCATAAGATTTAGAGACAAAATGTGAGTTTGAGGAGATTGCACATAGAGGCAATTGAGTTAGGCAAAAGAAAATTTAAAAATAAATAATGTTATATAGTTCAGTATGTTGTTGTATGTAAAATGAATCACATCTTTCAGGACAGAGCCACAACTTTTCAATTCTAGCCAAGATGTGCTGGCAAAACTAAGTCTCTTTCAGAGAAGTTAACATTACTCCAAAATTTTTCCTCAAAAGTTTGACAAAAAATCTGCACAAAATAAGTATATACCTGATGTATTGCCAGACCCATGCAAGCCAAGGTTTTCTCAGGTGTATCCCTTAGTTCACTTGCTATATTTGGCATCAATTTAGCTATTTCATCATCTTCTGTCAGTTCTTTAAAATCCACCAAAATACTTCCCTTTCTTTCTATTTCATCCTAAGAAATATTAAGGTAAGAAAACAAGAATTGCTTTTCAGAGTCAATTATCATAACTGTGTAGCATTCAATTACACATCTTGAGAAGATTACGCAATGTTTCCATGGTGACAATAAGTACTGTAAATGTTATGTGAAAAACATTTCTAATATTTAAATATATAACTTACTTATGCCTCTTAACAACCTTCTGTGATAGGTTTTAACACTATCATCCTCAACTGATACAGCTAAGAAAAGCAAAGCAGAAAGAAGGTAAACAGTTCACCAAAGTCTGTGCTGGAGGTTAATTATAGACTGGGATCTGGACTGAACTAGTCTGGCTTCAGTGACTACAGCCATAATCACTAGCACTTCAAACATAATGTTCAATAAAATAACACAAAAAGGTGGACTACTAGTGTTGCTATATGGAAATCTTACCTTATCATATAAATCAATACGCCTTGTGAAAAAATTTTCAAAAGCTTGAATCTTCTCAATAAAAGGAGAGCTACTGCTGTAAACTAATCCAACAAATAAAGAATTAAAACTAATAATCACATATATATACAAGCATATTTTTCATGAGCCAGAAAGAACACTATATACATGGTAGATGACTTTCTAACTGCTTTGTATCCTGATTATATTTAGAAAGAACTTATATAGAATGTATACTTAAAGATTCTGAAAAAAGTTTAGGCCAGTAAGATCTGAAATACAGACTGCAAGTCTCTCTGTAAAAGAATCAACATCTGAGAATGTACTGAAGCTTTGACGCCTAATGGGATCTGTTAGTTCAAATAGCTTACACAGTATAGCTCAAAGCAAACACCTTACTAAAGTCAAAGCTATACACAGGAGCTCTTTATTCCAAAACCACTGAAGATAAGTAATCATCACAAAGTAAATTCTAGTACAAACTGCCACTTGTCAGAGCCCGTTCTCAGATCAGACCACCATTTGACTCTGGCCCACATTTTAAAGCTGTCTATCTTTTATGCTGTAAAGTTCTTTAACATTTTCAAATTGGCCTCCCAAATTATGAAGTAGTTTGCAAGGACAGCTGCCCAAACCTAATCACCTCCTAAATGATATCTTAGAGCCAGTCCAAAGATGACTTCTAGTCCTCTGACCAGTGAGGGAAATACTTTCTTACTTTGTCTTTGGATGCTACATCTCATATAATTGATTTGGCTTACTGATATATATTTACCCCCCCTCTTTTTTTAAATTTATGCATACAGAACTGGGGTACAGGACAGAGGTGCAGGGGCAGTGAGAGGATTCACCAGAGACAGAGTGGGGAGCAGAACAGGCAGAGCACTACGAAGTACACTGCTGAGAGGTATACTCCCCTTTCCAAAGCTTAGTTCACCTAAAAAATTATATCATGTTTATCTTTCAAAAGCATTATTTTTAAGTTTTCTGTCAATCAGGAAAACAGAAACCACACAATTATTTGCATTGGTAGTTAATACATCCTAAAGCAAAAAACCACATCACCTATGAAATATACCTGTCTACATAATAAAAACACACCCTCACTACAGAAAATATTTGTAACATTTTATTCATTAAAAAAACAAAAACAAAAACAAATACTGAGTTTTGATAGGGCAAGATCCTTCCTCTCAATTAGGGCAGTGTGGTAGGAAAGAAGCACAGACACCTATATATTATTATTAAATATATATAGAGCTAGATAAATATATAGGTATCTATAACACCTGTCTGATAAGGGACATATGAAGCATATGGACATGTTAAGGGATTAGAAAAGATAATTCTCTAAACATATATAGACAGGTGTATGATGTTTACAGTTAAGGGACAGTCTTTTTTAACTGTGTTTTTACACAAAACTCTGTTGGTTATTATCTCTAAGTTCTAAACTCACCCTCCTATTTTTCTGCTTTGTGATGCTCCCATCAAGAGCTGGGCACAGCATTTCCCACACCCCTTTAGGTTTTGCCAAATGGAGGCACTTTAGAGGATGTAAAGTGGCAAGAGAGAAAGGAAGGTGTTATCTCTAATTCTTTTCAGCATCTCTCCAACTATTCTAACAGTTCTAGCCTCCTGCTCAACTCACCAGCTGTGCCATCCTCCAACAAGAGGTACCAGCAGCAACCAATTTAATTTGCTTCCGTGGCCAGCACACAGTCTAAAGGACACTCTTCTAGCCTTCTATAACCTCTAAAGAAGTTCTGTAGGTGCCCTATGGAGGTTAAAGCAATACTGTAGCCCTTCCTTTGAATTCCAAGACTCTGGTAACCTCACAACTATTATTATTATTTTATTATTCCCTTGGTCAAAAGCTAGAATGCTGCTCTTGAAGCTACTGCTATCTGGGGGTGGTGGGGCAAAAATTTTCATTTTTGCTTTTTTTATTCTCCTATCTGTACTAAAATACTTAGTGTGGCTTCTCTTTTCCTCACTGACAGAAAACCTAAAAATAATGTTCTTGAAACATAAACAAGACTTAATTGTTTGGATGAACTAAGATTAAAGAAGGGAGTATCTATAACAGTTAGTCAAATAAATTATATGAGATGTAGCATTCAAAGACAAGAAAACATGACCTATGGTATTTTTTCACTTTAACTGTACCTTCAGAGAAATAAAGTTTCCAGCCTTTATATGGTATGAATTCATCTAACGTTGATTGTAGTAGTGAAGATCGTGGGGCTTTTTCTAGGGGGGGAAGAAAAAGAGTACTGCATGTTAGTAAAAATAAATCAAACTTTCTTCGCAGTCTGCTTCTCCTTCCAACAATGAAAATCTGACATATTAACAGAATATCTAAATTACACATTTTGGGATAAATTCTGTATTTAACATTCAAATAGTAACTTACGGGGCAATATCAAATAAAAGACTGACATATGAGAAAAACTGCTTTGTATGATAGGCATAATGGATTCCTGCATGAGTTGGGTTCGGGGGGATCAAATAATCATGATTGACCTCCCTACCAGAAGTCTGTTTTCCTATGGCTTTACTCAAGTCATTTCTATGTTCTCTTTCTCTCCATCGTCCTGAGAAATTCCCACCACCTCTTCCTCTTTTCCAGCTTTGAAATCTTCCCCGTCCAAATCCTCTGCCTCTGTGTTCTCCATTCATGTCTTCTAAAAGAGAGATTAGGAAAGTCTTCATCAAAACTATTATAAGGAAAATAGGTGCTCCTAAAAATGTTCTAACATAGTAAATAGACAAAAAAATTAAAGATTGTTACCTTGAGACTAACAATAGGCTTGCAACATTGCATGCCATGGTATAAATCTCACTCTTCTAATCTGTACTTATTCTCCTAATTCCTGTTTTTAAAGCATTCCATAGGTTTTTGACCAAGTATACTAGATGTTCACTGGATAAAAGTGAACATTACTGTTCAGCATAGAATTGGATGTCCTAGCTGGAGCTATTAAGTAAGAAAAAGATACAAAAGGAATCCAAATTGAAGTTACTATTCACAAATGACAGGATAACACACAGAGAGAACCAAGAGGACTACATCAAAAACATACTATTGATAAAATAATAAATGAATACTACAAAATGATAGGATAAAGAGCCAACACACAAAAATCAGTTAATTTCCATATGCAAACAATGAATTAGAAGAAAAACTAAAAAAACAATCCTACTTACAACAGCACAAAAAGGAATGAAATAGCTGGGAGTAAAAGTTAATGAAGGAGGGCCCTCCCTGGTGGCGCAGTGGGTTAAAGCACAGCACTGAGAAGCTAAAGCCACTTCAGCATGGGTTCAATCCCCGCCCCAGAGGTGACCCACATGGCTCAGTAGACCTCTCCTGACCCGCCCACTGCTCCCTTCAGCAGTTTACTTCATTGATCTGCCTGTTCTGCTCTCCACTCTGTCTCTGGTGAATCCTCTCACTGCACTTGCACCTCTGGCCTGTACCCCAGTTCTGTATACATAAATAATCAAATCTTAAAAAAAAATGAAGGAGGTGAGGATCTATACATTGAAAAGTATAAGACTATTAAATAAAGGAAATTTAAAAAGATAATGAGCAATGGAAAACTAACCTGTGCTCATGGATTAGAAAACTAAGCGTAATTAAAATGGCCATATTCTCTAGAGCAACTTATAGTATCTATCAAAATTCCAATGACTTTAAGGAAGCAGAACAATTACAGAATTTGTAGGGAACCACAGGAGGTCCCAGATAGCCAAAGCAATCCTAAGTGAAAAGGAAAAACAGAGTAACACATGCCCTGACCTCCAACTATACTACACAGTAACAGTAATCAAACAGTAAGACGTTGGAACAAAAACAGAAATACAGACCAGTGGAACAGAACAGAAAGCATTTAGACAAACCCACATAAATTTAGAGTTAATCCTTACCAAAAGAGTCATGACTATACAAAGGTAAAAGGAAAAATTTTTTAACAATCTTTGGGATCCTTTAACAGTCTGTTGGGAAACAAGGATAGCCACAGGCAAAATTGCAACTAGAGTCATAATCAAAAATTCAAGCTGGATTAAAGATTTCAATGTAAGAAATAAAACCGTAAAATACTTAAAAGAAAACATAGGGGATACACTACAGGGTATCTACTGCAAAGATATATTTGAGGATACAACCCCAATAGTAAGGAAAACAAAAGCAAAAATAAACAAGCAGGAATTTTAAAAAATTGCATCACAAAAGAAGCCATAGAAAAAACAAAAAGGCAACCTACAAAATGGGAGAAGATATCTGTATATCACACATCCGACAAAGTTAATTTCCAAAATATACAATGTACTTACAAAATCCAAGAAAAGACAACCCTATTAAGAAATGGGCAAAAGACCTAAAGTGACACTTTACTAAATATATTCAGGTGGCCTACAGGCACAACATTGTTCAACACCACTTAAATAGGAAGTGCAGATCAAAGCCACAATGGGCTATCACCTCACTCCAGAGAATGGCCCAAATCAAAGGAATGGAAACATATGCCTAGGAAGATGTGACCAAAAAGAAACTCATCAGTGTTTGTGGGAACATAATCTGGTACTCTATAGAAAACGTTATAGACATATCTCAAAAAAAATGAAAATAGAAATTTTATCTAATCCAGCAAAATCTTTACTAGTTATTTACTCAAAGAAGAGGAAAACACAAATACCAAAAGACATGTATTCCTAGGTTGACAGCACGGTCCACAGTTGCCAAGTCATGGAATCAACCTAGGTGCAAGGACAGAGGACTGGGCAAAGAAATTGAGGACTCTACACCAATGGAATACGGCTGGCAGAACAAGGCCTCCTCGGACAAAATGATGATCCCTGAGATGATCATGCTAAGTGAAAATAAGCCAGAAGGTGAAATACATGGGATGGTGTCACTCATCTGTGGAATATAAATAACCACAAAACATACTGACAAAGCAGAGCAAAACCCAATCTTAGACCTAGTGAAAAACCTACAAGTTACCAGAGGGAGCAGGAGAGCAAAACCAAATCTTAGGGAGAGGATGGAGGGTCAGGGCATTGGATGGGAGACTGGCAGTGAGTGGAGCATGTGCACGTAGGAAGGAGTAAAATGTAACCCCAAAGTTGTAGAGCCATGTCAACAACTGATAAATATGACTCAAATTCCATGTTTCTAAAAGTTTGGTTTTTTAAGACAGAATAGTTTATATCCTAAGGATAAAACTAGTTATCAGTATCCTACAATGCGGTAAGTTAAGAAAGAGTATCCAAATTCTTAAATAAATTTAACTATTAAGAAAGTTAATAACTAGACAAATTCACGATGTTAGGGCAGGGGAGAACTTTGACAACTCTCAAGATTATGTCATACGTGAAGAAACTAAAGCCTAGAACCATGAAGCGTAACCAAGATCGAAAGTGTTGGGTAACAGTCCTGAATTAAAAGGGTCTGGAAACTCCTGGCTGAAGCGCAACATGCACGAAACATGATAAAAGCTGCAAGCATGCCAACACGAATCAAGAGTAAAGGAGCCGCCCATGGGCTTCGTTTAAAACTCTACTTTATTCACAACTGTCACTTCGAGTTCTTACTTGCCAAAGACACCGGTCCCACAACTCTCCTACTTTGGGTCTGGGCGGGCTCCGGGGTGCGAGCATAAACGCCGAGCCAGGCACTGGCTTCCTCCCGCGGTCGAAGCACTGCACAGCCCACGGGAGCCTCAGGTTCAAGCTCTTCAGGTGAGCCCTGCACACGCGCGAGGTTTTGTCCAGCGGCTCGCGAGCAGGGCAGCGTGTCATCGGTGAGAGAAGCTCCGTAGCCTCGGTCTCCCCACCCACCAGCGAAGGCTAGCGCCGCGGGTATCTAGCGCATGTAGCCCCAGTGCAGTCTTTCCTCCCCTTCTTTTTTGGCGCTTCTGTGACGCAACTTCCATCCAAGGATGAAGCTAAACAGGAGGGGGCGGGAACGAGTTCAGCCAATCAAGGAGCACAGCCAACCAAGGAGCTCAGTCTGACGGAAGCCGTGAGGCTCCCGGAAGTTGTCCGGAGCTTCGTACCGGAAAGCGGAAGCAGCGCGCAGCACGTGGGGGCGGTGCCGGTCGCCTGGCACCGTGTCCCCGGAGTCTGTAATCGGTGAAGCTGGCTGCAGCGACTACGGAGGACGAGGGGCCCAGGCGAGAGGGACTGGCGTGCGGCGGCGGGCTGAGCGTCATGGAGGACTCAGGGGAGCTGCCAGGCCCGCAGCCAGCACCTCCTGGGGACCACCGTATCCGCGACGGCGACTTCGTGGTGCTGAAACGGGAGGATGTGTTCAAAGCAGTGCAAGTCCAACGGAGAAAGTAAGTCAACTCTCTGGCCTTAGGGATCTTCTTCAAGTATCTTTAAGACACCCCTTTTCTCCAGGTTTTCCCACATACGCTTCACACCGGGGACTCACTCTTGAGTGAGGGACCAGAGTCCCTTTACTATTCTTAGTACCCAGGTGCTAACCTCTCTCCACACCGGCAAACCCCTGCCCCGTAGTTCTTTCGTAAGATTCTTTTTCATACTGATTTTTTATGTTGCTTCATGTTGAAAGGGTGATGGTTCTAGACAAGAACTTTTTTAATTGACAGAACACAGAAAGGAACATCTTTAGTCTTCTGTTTGGAAACACTTTTCATCACCATTTTTCCTGGCAAAAACCATAGCATTAGTTTTCATATTGTTTAGAAAATGACCTGAGCTCAGCTATATCCCAAGCCAAACTCTCCCTTCCCTCTTTACATGGCAGCACTGCTCACACTGGGCAAAAGGAATCTTGACTGCATGAGGATTGCATATCCCACTCTTTCCTAGCAAAGTCATGGCTCCACATCCATCTGATTGGGTCCTGCTCTCCAGACTGGGACAGTGACATTCTGTCCTGCCACTTATATGAATTGACACACGTTCCTTTGCATATCACACCAGCTGCCAGGTGCAGCCAGTATTGCCAGTGCAACTCAGTCCCAGTGTTTTATTAGCACTTGGGGCCAGAAGGATGAGTACAGCCTGCACCTCTGGGCCAACCTGAGTTTTCTCTTCTCTGAGAAGGTTGATGTCAACAAATATTTTGAGGATCTGCTATGCATTAGTAATTGGGGGCCCAGCAGAGAATAAGAATTGACTGTGCTTGGATCACTTCAGTTCCAACAGAAATATATTCAGGTGGTTCAAATGTGGAGATTGACTGACTTAAAGATTTGCTTATTCATGCATACAAGAACTGGGGTACAGGCAGGAGGTGCAGCGGTGGGGGTGAGAGGATTCAACAGAGACAGTGGGGAGCAGAACAGACAGAGCTACTGAAATACACTGCTAAGGAGAGCTGTGAAAGGGTTAGGAGAGGTCTGCACACCGTGTGGATCGCCTTCATGGCCAGGGTTCAAACTTGTGCCACAGTGGCTGTGGGTAGCTTCTTGGTGCTTCCCTTTAACCCCTTGCACCACCAGGGAGGGCCCAAATTGTGGAGATTTAAATGAAGAAATGACATATACATATGTAGAAGTGTGGCAGGATTCAGAGAACTGGTAAAGAATGGTGATGCATTCAGAGTCTAGCAATGGAGGCACATTTTCAGCAAGGGAACCTGGGTGCTGTGGTGTCTGCACTCTCTCATGGTCAGCTTCCAAGGGCACAAACAGTTAACTGGTACATCTCTTAAAGGATTCAGATTTCTGTGGTCATGGGGTATTTTCTGAAGCTGGGTGGGGCTTCCTGAGATCATTAATCTTTGCATGGGTTGACTGTGGCATAGTAACAAGAACCAAGATTTGGGGTCAGACAGACCTGGATATGAATTCCAGTTCCCAATTTGTAAATGTGATCTTGGACAAGATACTTTTCTAAAAAGAATTGTGCCCCACACCTTCCATATACTATCTAACCTCAGATAGACATAGCAGAATTTTTTAAATTTCTTTAATAGGGAAAACTTATTTATATGGGGTTTCCCTTTAAAATTGCAAAAAGATAAAAATCTGGATATTGGGAAATCAAGTTGACTGTACCTCAGTAGAACACCATTTCAAATGTGTAGATTTAAGTCGGATTTATTTGTAAATGTAACTTGCCTCTTATTAGATATTTTCAAAGAAATTAGCTGGATAGGCCAGAGAATTTGTAAAATTCCTGTCATTTCAATGATCAGTTTTGAGATTTTCTTGAGTAAGTTGCAAGTGGTGTCACAGTATGTGACCAGAACTCTGGCAATCTTGATGATCCTGTATGCGTTGCAGGAATCCCACAAAACCTGTCTATTTGGGCTTTCTGTGAGTGAAAAGTAGAGTCATAACTTGCCTCCAAAAAGGAATATCTACTGTTCTCACTCCAAATCCAATGTTGTTTTAGTTCCTGTAATTTTATATTGCTGCCCCAGCCTGTTCACCCCTTGTGGGGGCCAGTTTTAAAGTAAACTAGATGGAACATGTTTTGTCTATACTGAATACAAGTCTAATTCAGCTAATTGATTTGAATTTTCTTTCCCAGAAAAGTAACTTTTGAAAAACAGTGGTTCTACCTGGATAACGCCATTGGCCACAGTTATGGAACCACATTTGAAGTGACCCATGGAGGAAGTCTTCAGCCTAAAAAGAAAAAGGAAGAGCCTACTTCAGGTATGCGACTTTGGGAGTATGACAGAGTTGCTCTTGAGTTGGTTAGTCAGAAGCCTGTCAACCCCATTACCTTGTGCCTCAAAGAAATCCAAAGTCATCGTGGAAGAACTTAGCAAGGTCTGCCTTTGGCTTTGCAATATCCAGAGTCTGGCCTCTACCCATCTTTAACTGTCTCCCTCACCTTAGGCCAGGCACTTAACCCCATGAGTTCTTGCCACTTCATTGTAAAGGCAGTTGTAGAGCCAGAAGTTAACATAACAACTGTGAGGTAGCTTTTGGTACTGTAGAGATTAAGAGGTCTGGCTTTGAATTCAGCTAGCTAACTTTAAGTACCAGTTCTATCATTTGTAACGTTGGGCCAAGTTATTTGGTTTTTCCAAGTCTTATATCTGAATCTGTAAAATGGGGCCATCAACACATTTAATTCCTAGGCTGTGTCAAATGTTCACTGATATAACACATAAGAAATTCTTGAGCGTACCTTGTAGATAGTAGGAACTATAATTTTTAACTGTTATCATTAATTAAAATTAAATATATAAGTATTCCTAAAATAAATGTGAACATATGATAAACTTAAAATGCTTAAATAATGAATTTAAGTAAATAAAATGATGTTAAAATTCTGGTTCATTCCAGTTAATTGATTACTTTAAAGTTAACATCCATAATTTTGTTAGGGTTTGATTTGGCCATGTGATTACATAATTCATGAGCTCAATCATCTTAAAATTCCCTTAGTATTAGAAAGTACCAAAAATAGTCCAGCAGACATGCAAACAGTATAATTCCAGTTGCTGATGTGCTGTGAAGGTGAAAACACGGGGAAGTGAGCCAGGGATGGATTGGATGAGGTGAGACGTGGCTGAGATGATAAGCTTGGCCTTGCATGGTGGGAAGGATCCAGCTACTCGGAGATCTGTCGTAAGAGCATTTCAGGCAGAGGAAGCAGCAAGTACCAAAGCCCTGGAGAGGGGCTGTCCTCGGTGTAGTAAGGAGCAGAAGGGAAGCAGTGTGGCTACAGTAAAGGTCAGGTCATGGTACCAGAAGCCATAGTCAGGGCCAGGACACAGGCAGCCTTCCAGGTCAGTCCTGGAAAATCACTGAATGATTTTGTTCATCGGATATTGGAGCCAATTAGCATTATTAAAAGAGAGCTGATGTCCAGGTGGATAGTGAGGAGGCAAGAGTGGGAGCAGGAAGAGGAGTAAGAGACTTGGAATAGTCATAGCAACAAAGATTAGTGGACTGGGGCAGAAGCAGTGGAAGCGGAAGGCCACATTTGAGTAGCTTATGGGCTGAATGTGGATATAAACTTAGAAAAAGAAAGATTATAAAATAATTTCTGATCATAAATGTCATAGAGCATTTTCCTTCTTTAGAGACCAAAGAAGCGGGCACTGATAATCGAAATATAATTGATGACGGGAAGTCTCAGAAACTTACTCAAGATGACATAAAAGCTTTAAAGGACAAAGGCATTAAAGGAGAGGTAAAATCCAAAGGATGTTTTGTTGTGTGTTTTGTTGTTTTGTTTTGTTTGGCTCTTTAGGAAATGGTTTGGCTTTTAAAGCAGACTTTGCTTAAGGCAAAATGAAAAAATTATACTTGTTACTTTTATTAGAAATAGCTTTGAGATGTAAATGCAATTCAGTAAAGCAAGGATTTCATCTCTTACACTCAGGAATATAACAAATGACTTATTCCACATTGTGAGTGGAAAAAGATTTAGTAACAGTGCATATCAGAGTTTAAACGTCTTCATTTTCAGTAATGATTTCAACCATTGTCTTCAGGATTGACAGTTTCCTTTACCTCTCCCTTTATTGGTGTATCCCTGTTCTTTTACTTTGCTTTCAATAGTTGTAAAGTGCCTGCATTTTAATACAAATTCCAGATAGAGGATAAAATACACAATTCATCTATTTGGACTTCTGTGGAAAAGGGACTGCAGGATCAGTCCTGTGGATACATTCTGGGGTAAAAAAACCTTTGAAAAAACCTCTGTTCTGTGAAAATAGTTTCAGGAAATCTGCTTACTCCTTTTCTTATAGGAAATAGTTCAGCAGTTAATTGAAAATAGTACAACATTCCGAGACAAGACAGAATTTGCTCAGGATAAATACATAAAAAAGAAGAAAAAGAAGTAAGTAGTTTTGTTTGAAAAGGACAAAGATAGTAAATCTTTTTCTAGATTTGTAAGATACGTATTAAAAAGTCTTTGAAAGCCAGCTTTTAAAAATGGGTGTTCTGTTTTTGTTTCGCCTAGATATGAGGCCATCGTTACCGTTGTGAAGCCATCCACGCGCATTCTTTCAGTTATGTATTATGCAAGAGAACCTGGAAAAATTAAGTACGCTTTGTTTACTTTCCAAAGTATAACTGGGGGGAAATATATCTTTAAGAAAGTCATGATTTTAAATAAAATGAAAAACATTCTCACCTAAAGTGTTCTCCTACCTCATAAATTATAAGTTCTTTTTGTTATAGCCTCCAAAGCAATCTGTCATTTCAATACAGTTTTTATGAAGGAAAGACAACTTGAAAAATGATGACTAAAATAGCAGATTTTGCCGAGCTAAAGATGAATGACTCTTTTCTTTTTTTTTTCCTTAGCCACATGAGATACGACACACTCGCCCAGATGCTGACATTGGGGAATATTCGTGCTGGCAACAAGATGATTGTGATGGAAACATGTGCAGGCTTGGTGCTAGGTGCAATGATGGAACGAATGGGAGGTAAAATTCAATGTTTTCAAGTTTTTGAAGACCCTGCTGTGATAAGAGTAGAGCAATGTAAAAAAAAAAATGAACTCACAGAAAGTGAGGTGGAGTTACTGTGAGGTTAATGGGATGAGCTGGGTGGCCTTGCCCAGCCCTGTCCCCAGGGGCCCCCGGGGCCCTCCTGCACAGTGTGGTCTGTCGTACTCCACCGCGTGCAGCCACTGCATGACACCTTCCAACTCCGGTATCAGCGGGATGGTTCTGAAGCCTGTGATAGGCTTCGCCTCCTGCAGAACAGTGATTTCAGTGAATTCTTAGATAGCTGGTGCTCATCTTAGGTGCTTGAACTGGGGGAGTTGGGCAGGAAGAATCCTGGCTATGTTCTGCCCTGGTGTTTCTAACTCAGCCTGATTTGGCCTGACCTTTCTCTGAACCCATAGAAGATCAGAAATTTTAATTCCCCCATTTGAGAATAGTACTGGGGATAGGCTGAGCGCTAGCCACCAATCCCTATTTGTTAAGTAGAGAGACCTTCAGTCTGACGGTGTAGGACCCTGAGGGTTTGCATAGTCCAGAGGGGTCTCCTTGCGTTGATGGTTATTTCTTTTATCTGTTCAGGTTTCGGTTCCATTATTCAGCTATATCCTGGAGGTGGCCCAGTCCGGGCAGCAACAGCATGCTTTGGATTTCCCAAGTCTTTCCTCAATGGTCTTTATGAATTTCCACTCAACAAAGTGGACAGTCTTCTCGATGGAACATTTTCTGCCGAGGCATTATCTTTAGAACCCAAAGACCCTGCTTCAGTTAAAGAAAGTAATGGCACATTGGAGGAAAAACAGACTTCTGAGCTAGAGAATGAAGACAGCATGGCAGAGGCCCCAGAGAACAATCACCCCGAAGAGCAAGAAACAATAGAAACTGTTTCTCAAGACCCAGAAAATAAGGAGCCTAGAGAGAGAGGAAGCAAAAAAGATTATGTAAGAACGTAAAGAGTCCCATTGCCTTCCTAATATTCCCCTCAGGGCCTCGGTTAACTTGCTTAAGCAATGAGAGTTCATTGGGTTTTAGAGCATCATCTCCCAAGCTACTAAATATCAAACAGATGGAGAGCGTGTGTGCGGCTGTCCACACTTGTGCAGTTTTAACCTGTGGGATGGACCTCGAGGTTGCAGGAGCCTTGTGTGGTAGCTTAATGATGGTATTATAAGATACGGACTTGCTCTTGTGTTTTAACTTCCTTAATCATGTGACCTCCTGTTGCTTTAGTCCACATTGATAAATACTGTTGAAATGTTTTGACAGACCAGCGTTTCCATAAACCTGACTGAATGACCTCAGTACGTTGGTTTCTTATTTTTCTTCTTGAAGATTCAGGAAAAGCAGAGGAGACAAGAAGAGCTGAGGAAAAGACATTTAGAGGCCGCTGCTCTGCTGAGTGAAAGAAACGCAGATGGGTGCGTGATGCAAGAATGCAGGAGATGTCTTGGTGCTTGTGGGCTCTGCTTAGTGCTCTTCCTGCCTTGATTGTAGTGGGAGCGGAGATGGTGGTTCTCTCTTAGCTTTTAAAGAAAGGAGGCTGCAGCTGGTGGAGCTGGGAAATTTATTGTGCTGGCGTGAGAGTTTCAGAAGAAATTTGGAATTCTCTGGTGATGGTACCTCAAGAGCAGCTGTGTAGCCCCGCTGGGTGCAGGTGGATGGGGCATTTAAATTGATGTGCTAGTGGCTCGTGGCGAGGAGGAAGGAAAGCCTGGCTGCAGAACTAGATTCAGATCTCTGCAAAGCTAGCATTGCAATGTTGGGTTTGTTTTTAGACGATTTTTTAAGTCAATGTCTTTAAATGCCACTTAGTTGCTAACCACCACAAGAGCTTATAACCTAGTTCATATTTTCTAGAAAGTAACAGTTCGTGACTTTACTGTTTTGAATTTCTAGAGTCATATTTAAAATGTTTCCTGTGTGAGTTATGCAGATAAACATGATCGTTTAAATGCATTTTAAAACCTATACTCTGTTTTGGGAATGGAGAGAAATTACTCATCTAATGTTTTCCTTGCAGTTTAATTGTAGCTAGTCGGTTCCATCCAACCCCACTGCTGTTGTCGCTGCTAAACTTTGTGGCCCCGTCAAGGCCCTTCGTGGTCTACTGTCAGTATAAAGAGGTAATACTGAAACTGCAACAGAATAGATGGGAATTCTTGCATCTGAATGCTGACTGTGACCCTAGAAGTAATTCTTAATCGAACTCTCTTTATACTTTCAGCCTTTGTTGGAATGCTACACAAAACTGCGGGAAAGAGGAGGGGTCATCAACCTAAGGCTGTCTGAAACCTGGCTCAGAAACTACCAGGTATGGTTCCAGAGCCGATGCCGGGAGCTGCTCTCCTGAGCACTGGCCTTTGGCAGTAGTGCTGGGCATGTTTAAATAGAGACGGCACTGTCACTCTCTCTGGAAATGAGAAGCCTCCTGCCTGAGATGCCAAGGAAGTCCCCTGACCTTTCCTATTTTTTCCTCCTTTCTAGTCAGGGTCTGTTACTCTATAACTTTAATCTACAGACATTCAGAATGCAAACAGTTTTGGTTCCTGTTTCCTCTGGGCCATAGGACCACCCTGGAGGGAATCAGTGATGATAGTAAAATCCCAATAAGGGGTTTGGAGATCTGTCTGCTGGTATGTCTTTGCAACAAAATTTCAAGGTTTCTTTGTGGGTTGTGGGTCAGTTCAGGTTCTCTAGAAAGGCATAGACCAGGATGTAATTAGAGGTATAAGAGCTTTTTTTCTGAAGAAATGACTTTGAAAGATAAGGGAAAAGGCATAGAATTAATTGGGGAGAACTGTCAGGCCATGATGCAGGTCTGATACCTGTAAGGAGGGCAGGGTGAGAGTGGAGGGGGGTGGAGTAGGGGAGGAAGGGCCAGCAGTTTGCTCTGGGAAAGACTTGCCAGAATGTTGGGGAATTCCAAAGCAAACGTGTCTTAAAAGAATTCTTTACTAGGCAGAAATGATCTAGTCCTGTTACCCATGCTCAGTTAGCAGCTTGCAACAGCCTGTAGCCTCCCTGCTATGAATCCTGCATCCCAAAGAAGCAGCAGCTGAAGGCTTTCTGCTGCCGAACTCCTCATAGCCAGTTCCCTCTTGAAGGAAGAAAGACCTGAGGGAAACATCTATGGCTGCCACAGGGCCTGACCTGCTACTTGAACATCTGACTTAACCCAGGGTCCTCTAGAGCCCTAGGCAACCTTGCTCTTCACAGCAGTCATCTTGTTTAGTTATGGTGGCAGGAGAGAAGAGTTCCTGCTCAGTAGGCCGTCTGTGGACCCGGTAAGCTAGGCCTTGAGCGCTGTATAAACCTTTGTCTCTGCTCCACCAGAAACTTGGCTCAGGTCTGAGAGGGACAGTGTATAAAGAAAATCCCTTTGAACCAGTTCCGGTACTGTCATCTATACTGTCAGGGAATGATGGACGCCTTAGAATCGGTCTGTTTAAATCATCAAGAGAATCTGCGCTGTTCACATCCTGGCATTTGTCCTGTGTGTTGTAGGCACATGCCTTATCTGTTTAGGAAAACATGAATGTCTGTCTATCTTTCTTCATTAGGTTTTGCCAGATCGAAGTCATCCCAAACTACTGATGAGCGGAGGTGGGGGGTACCTTCTCTCCGGCTTCACTGTTGCCATGGACAGCCTTAAAGCAGACCCCAGCCTCAAGTCCGGCCTGAGCACTTTAGAATTACACAAGACTGAAGAGCCAGCAGCTAAAAAAAGGAAATGCCTCGAGTCTGACTGTTAACCTTTCAGAAATTGCATTTGATTTTTGTTCTCAGGCATTATATAGCTAGTAAGTGAACTTTAAATGCCATTACTAATTTTTTTTTAACATCCTAAGAATAAGAACAGATCTATAAACTTGTTCCTGGGAAGGATAAGTAAGCTTTCTCTCCCCCATGACACAAAAATCCAAACCTATTTGGACTAAATTTGTCCAATTTTTATTTCACAAAAAATCCTCCGAGTACTTTTAGTACTCTGTGAGTATCTTATGAATTTACAAAGCCTAAAAATATATTTATATGTGACTTTGTTTGTATTATACTAAGAGGAATAATACAATATGGCAAAAGTTGGTGGGTACTGAACGGGTGGATTTTGTAGAAGATATTTAATCAGTTCATTTCAGATGCTCTTCAGCCTAAGCAATATGGATGTGTGTGAAATGCACAGTACCAAAACATTTACCCTGGTCCCTGCAGAGTAATAACCTTTTTAAAACACTAGATTTTATTATTTTAATAGTTGACAGCCTAGGAAAGTTGTATTTATTTTACTGTCTTTTTTTGGACAATAGAGTAAGGTACTTTTTTAAATTAATTTCCTGATCCCCATTCTTTGTTCCAAATAAAGTGATTAGAATTTTTGTGTCCTATTCAATAAGTAAACAGATGTTTTTCCCCTCCCCAGAGACTGATGGACTTATATGTATATACATACATATATATGTATTTGAATGTTGGTATACATGTGCGCACACATTATTTATGTATGCGCCTGTACACATGGAGACAGAATGCACTGTGTGTATGAACTATGATGAAATTTAGTACAGGGCTTCAACCAGTTCTCTGCATTAGTGTCACTCCTTGTGAAATGTATTTTTAAGTGCCTTTTCTTGTGATTATTCATGCTGGTTTATTGAGCTCTGTCATGATTAAGTGGTTAGCTTTTCTAAGCTTTGAAAAAAATGTAATCAAATTATTTGGTCATCTGCTACCGCCAAGCAAAGTGTTTAGAGTAAGCCAAGGCCTTTGTCCATTCGAGAACAGGAGTCTCGCTCACTGAACATGTCTCATGTGGACTGTCTGCATCCTTACAGCACAGGCGTGGATCATCCAGCGAAGAACATCGCAGAAAAAATAAGAAATTGCTTTTTCCCAGTAGCATGTAATATTCTGATAAGGGCCAGTGTGATTACCATCAAGTACAGTTTTAATTCCTTTTTCTTAAAATAATTGCTTTTGAAGAATAAAAGTTTTCGTACAATGACTCGTCTGACTTACGTTACTGGTGCCGTCAGTGACACCACATTCATTGCCTTGCCGTTGATTTTGACTCCTGGCCTGTGGAACAAGGAAACATGCCCCAATTGGCACTTCCTGCATGTGTCCTTGTAAATAGTCATCATCCACATACTACTGGTCAGGTTTGGCCAAGGAGAGAACGCGTAGGTATGCACAGGTGGATTCAGGAGTGACTGGTCTCTGTGGCCACTGTTTGAACCACTTCCGACTCAACACATTTGCAGCCACGTCCATTCAGTCTGATGGTCACCCTGCCAGCGCCCTGGGTGCTGGTGTTGCTGCCCTTGGAGTTGACTGGTGGACACACACCAGCAGCAAAAGTAAACCTTAACCTGTTCTCATTCATACAACTTTCCTCATCTTTGAGTATTGCTAGTTTAATGTAGTGGTTTGAAACTTTAGTGTGTACTAGAATAACCTAGAGAAATTTTAAATAGAAATTGTTGAACTTCCACCCCAAAGTTCCTGATTCAGCGGGCTGGGGTGGGGTAGCAAGTACACATTTCCATTAAGCTTCCAGGTGCAGAAGCTGCTGGCTGGGAACCACTGCTTGAGGACCAGGCCTGTGTGTATGCCCACGTCACCGAATACACAATGTGCAGCCAAATACATCGTGTTTCTATCTTGTTTATAATGTGGACTTCCACTTTTGGAACGGATGAATTCACAAATTCTGTGACTTCTGGACATTTCGTCACCAGGAGAGTTAAGTGAATTAGCACAAAGTAAAACCAAATCATTCTGTAGTCTCTGACCTCTCCATTGGATTCGTGTACTTGCAAATACATATTGGGGCAACAAGGAGATTTTCAGCTTAGAGGTATACTGAAATTGTTATGAATTAGAGCTTTTTTTCTAGTTTTATAATAGTTAATAATGAACAGAACATTTTGTAAGTTTAAGGTATACATTGATTTGACACGCATACATTACAAAATTATTAACAACGTAACATCAGCTAATACTTCCATCCTGTCACATAGTTACCATTTCTTTTTTGTGGTAAGAACATTTAAGATCTAGTCTCCCAGCAACTTTCAAAGATAAAGTATCACTAGAGCCACCATGCTGTGCCTTAGAACTGAGTTCACTCAGAGCTAGGAATTTGTACCCTCTGATCAACATCTCCCCATAACGCCCACCCTCAGCCACTGGCAAAGACCTGTCTACTCTGAGTTTGTTTTTTCCTATGTACCATATATAAGTGACATCATCTCTGTCTTTTCTGTTGGGCTTAACTTCATTTAGCAATGCCCCTAAGGGAGGAAGAGAGCAAGATCTCATTGTCTTTCATAGTTCTTAGAAATTCTGACTAAATGTTTGATAAGGCCAGTTCCACCAAGACTTAAGTTCCTATAGCATATTCCTGTTCACAGAAACATCATGGGAGTTTTAAATAAATGCCCCAAACGGGCCTTCCCTGTTGGCACAATGGGTTTAAGTGTAGCACTATGAAGCTGTCCACAGCCACTGCAGCATGAGTGTGACCCCTGGCCAGGGAGGTGACCCACATGGTGCAGCAGACCTCTCCTGAACCATCTGCAACTCCCCTCAGCAGTGTATTTCAGTAAATCTGCCTGATCTGCTCCCCACTCCTTGGCCTATACCCCAGTTCTTGTATGCATAAATCTTTAAAATAAACACCCAAAACAGCTGTAATATAAAACAGATTTGATAATAATTTTCTAAGCTGCATACTCCAGTTCAGGCTAGCAGGTGCCCAGAACCTCTCCCAGCAGCTCAGGGAGCAAGGCGGAACTGACTGAACAGACACCCACACCTCCCAGGGTGTACTCAACACCCTGCTCGCTCCAGCTAGGACAACTTAGACATGCCAGTGAATATTAGAGCACATCCTCAGGCTGTGGAAGGAAATGAGCACCCAGGGAAAAGCCAGCAGACTCAGAGAGAATGTCAACTCCATACCAACAGTGGCCCTGGTCAGGAATCAATTGTTTTTCCTCATCAGCATAACAAAATAATGATGAGAGAAACTACATGAGTCAAGGACGTGCTGTATGACCTGGTCATGATTCTTCCATTGAAGGACATTAGTTTGTTGCCAATTTGACCATTGGGAATAACACTGCAATGAAGGTGGGAGAGAAGACACTTCTCCAAGACACTGATTTCTTTTCCTTCAGCTACGGATCCATGGACAAAATGACACATGTTTACAACACCTCTGTATATTAAGTTTTTGATGTCACAGTTGATGCCTTTTTCATGTTTCTATCTACATTACTGTCAATCAGTTTTTTTAATTTTTAAAGATTTGTTTTATTTATTTATACATACAAGAACTGGGATATAGGCCAGAAGTGCAGTCGGTGAGAGGATTCACCAGAAACAGAGTGGGGAGCAGAACAGGCAGATCTACTGAAAATACACTGCTAAGGGGAGCAGCAGGTGGATCAGAAGAGGTCTGCTGCACCATGTGGGTCACCTCCCTGGCTCATGCTGCAGTAGCTGGGGTAGCTTCGTAGTGCTGTGCTTTAACCCATTGCACCACCAGGAAGGGCCCTCTTGAAGTGATTCTTTTTGTTTTGTTTTATATTTTCTCTTTTAATTAATTATTTTATATCATTGTTAATTTTTGTACTTTGATTTCTCCCCTCAGTTATTGTTGGGGTAGTTCTCCCGTGGCTAGAGCGTCTGTGATCCACCTTTATGCCCTTCCCTCACATTGTGACCTGTTTTGTGGTCAGATCCATGGTCAGCTTCTTCCAGCAATTCTTGCCCATGATGCCCATGTGGCTTCCTGAGCGGAAGTGATCTCTCAATTCTATTTGTTTCTGCTTCTCCCTCACTCATGTCTTTTCTGAGTTGTTACTCTCTAGGCTGCCATTGTGCCCATCCTTTAAGATGACTGCAATCCAGCCCCCTCTGGTGTTTCAGGAATCTCCCAGTTATTTTTGCAGAAAGGCTGTTTCTAGAGCCACTGCTATTTTCTGGCTATTGGCACTCAGACTGTTCGCATCAGGTCCTCCAAGTGTAGCAAAGCACTTTATTATCAGACACAAAGGGACTGCAGGGAGAGAACAGGAGCAGCTTTGTCTTTCATTCCTAGGTTTGACTTCTGCAGCTGAAGAAACATTAGATCCTACTAGAAGCTTTATAAAAATTTCCACAATTGGCTCCAACTTCAGAATCACATCCTCATCTAACTTTGCCTCAAAAAAGTTCCTCTTGTTGCTTTTGTAATTTGAACAAGACATTTCCAGGAACCTTCGGTGAAAGGTAAAGCCTCTTCCCTTATGAATAGCTACAGTTTACTCTTTTCAATTGTCCTCCCTTGATTCTTCCAGCTCCTGGTAACCCTAGGCACTGCTGGTGTTGTTTTTGTTGTTTTGTGTCTTGGGGCACTAATGGCAACCTCTTCACAGTGCCATGTTCCCTTGACTTTGTCCTCACAAGGCAACCTCTTCTGTGTCTGTGTCCACATTTCCTCTGATAAGGACACTGGTCATGGTGGATATGTGTCCGCCCTAGGAACCTCATGGTAACCTGATTGCATCTGCAGAGACTGTTTTCAAATAAGGTCACGCATGGTACCAAGGGTGAGGGTTTCATCTCATTTTGAGTCACACAATTCCATTTACAACACCCGTTTCTAAACCTTTCTAAACTAGTTGATGTTTTTAATCATCCATGTATATTATTTTTATAAAAAGAGGGGCACCCCATAGCTCAGGTAATTCCAGACTCCTTCATGCAGTGTAGCGATATCCCCAGAGATCCTAAAGACATCTGGACTGGGACCTCGGCATTCTTTCGGCTGCCTCCCATGTCTGTGTGGTCCGGTGCCTGCACAATTCCCTGCCCTGGAGTATCTGCAAATAAAAACAGGATGCGCTAGTGTGCAGGGCACTGAAAAGGCAGTGGGCCAGGAGGAAGCTATGTGAAGTGTCCGGGTTGGGACCACATGGTGATAAGCTCCATCTGCCAGCATCTCTTCCGGAGGGTGTGTGTGTGTGTGTGTGTGTGTGTGTGTGTGTGTTTGTGTGTGTGCAAGCACACGCACGGATTGTCAGGATGCATTTGGTGCACTGCAGTGTTTTGCCTTCTCTCACCAGTGAATCCATTCCTATTCATCTTGGGCCCCTTGAACTCTACTTAAGAAAGAATTTCACTTTCTACTGGACTGCATTGGGGAAAAAAAAAAGACAGACATATGACATTATGTGTGTTGAGATGTTTCAAGCATTTTCCAAGATCCTGCCTCAAAATATAAGGGGGTTACAGCTGTGGTGTATTACAGCTGTAGTTAATTTGCCAGAGGACAGGTTTGATTTGGGATAGTTTCTTAGGTTGGGAACCCCAAAAGCAAGTCCCGAGATAAGTTGAGAATTATGGGAATTGATCCCAGAAAATACCAGTAGGAGTTGGACAGGGAGGTAAAGGCAGCCTATAAAGGGTGCATTACTGAGAGGTCTCTGCTGTGGCACCTGGGACTCACCTAGGGAGTCCTGGGGGCATATAGAATTTGTGGCTCAGTTATTCCATTGCCTTTTTATGGGTTAAGTTTTATCACCAGAAAGAGATACTGACGTTTGGCCCTTTCTGGTGGCGCAGCAGGTTAAAGTGCAGCACTGCAAGTGAGCAATAGCCACTTCAGTGTGTTAGGTCCCGGCACCCGGAGGTGACCCACATGGCTGGCAGACCTCTCCTGACCTGCCCGCTGCTCCCCTCAGCAGTGTACTTCATCCATCTGCCTGTTCTGCTCCCCACTCTGTCTCTGGTGAATCCTCTCACCACCCCTACACCTCTGGCCTGTACCCCAGTTCTGTATGCATGAATAATTTTTTTAAATAATAATAATAATAAGATACTGATATTTTAGCCCTTAGTGCCTCAGAATGTGACATATTTGGAAACAGGTTCCTTGCAGATGCCATTAGCTCAGTTGAAGTCATCTGGGAATAGGGTGGGTCCTTAATCCATGACTGGTGTTCTTAGGAACAGACTGTCCCATGAGGAGACCGAGGCTCACAGGGAGAGAATGGCCACTTGAAGGTGGACACAGAGACTAGAGTTACACTACCACAAACAAGGAGTGCCTGGGACCACCAGTAATAAGGAAGAGGCTAGGAAGGCTCCTTGTCTAAAAGTTTCAGAGGGAGGATGACCCTGTATATGACTTCATTTGGGACTTCTAACTTCCAGAACTGTAAGCATAAATTTCCAAAGCCACCCAGTTTGTGACAGTTGTTATGGCAGCCCCAGGAGTCCTGCACAATGTTCCTGGACCAGGGCCTGTCACCCGGGAAACCACCTCCAGCAGCCACTAGCCCCAGGGCCCCTCGCTCGCCTTTGCAAACAGGACATCACCATCCCATGGTCAGAACAAGAGACCCCAGGTAGAGAGGTAGGAAGGCTTTTTGAAAGCATGTGCCCACATTTAGGACAATCTGCCATCACGTTCTTAATACTGATGGACTTCGTTCCTGGAAAATTATTTCACTAAAACTTCATTTGAAAAGAACCTGGTTAAATTAGCTCTAGTAATTATTGATTTAGCCATAAGAAGAACCACCAATGAATAAAGTCACACTGATTTAGCCATAAGAAGGACCACCAATGAATAAAGTCACACATGATCCTGATGTAATCTTAGAGTAGAAAAGTCTAGGATGGAAGGTCTCACAGGGACGGACCCTGGAGATGGGGGTAGAGGATCAATGAATCTGGACTACACCTGGCTATGAAGTTCCTAGGAAGCTAAGGTGGTGTCAGGAAAGATTATCAGCCAGAGGCTGAGGCAGAAAGGAGTATCAGTCTTAGAGAACCAACCCAATCTGACCACAAAGGGAAACTTTTCACAGTGATTCCATCAAAGAACATTATAAAAGAGACCCCTTGCCCTGGCAAAATGCAGCTCTTGCCTTTTAAAACTGCCCACCTGTGTCTAAGCAGACATCTCTCTTGGTCTCCTTTCCTCAATAAACAGATCATGGGCTGATAAATGGGAACATTACTAAATTCTTTCTCGGATAGACCCAAGAACCCCATGCACCAAACCCCATCATCCTCTGAGCTCCACCTCCCCGAGAACAACCCTTTACCTGAACCATCAAAAGAGCAGAACTCAACCAGGTAGAAGCCATCGCCAGTGAGGAATGAAATAACAGGTGCAAGAAGGGAGAAGGAAAAACTGCCGTAATAAGCTGCAGCGGTAACTTCCTGCACCAATGCCATACGCAAGGCACTACTGAGTGCTGCAGAAACTCATAGTGTCCTCATTAACAGAGGCTCAGAAAGAAAGAGATCCCTTCTTTACTGAGCTATCTGAGGTCGAGACGTTCAGAGGGAAAGTAACTTTCCCAAACTCACACTGCTCCTAAGCCACAGCCAGAGCCCTGTCTTCTTTCAGAGGAGAAATCCGGCCCCGCAGGTCCCTGTCTCTGGAGCTCTTCCTGGTGCCTGTGCTCTCTCCTTCACTCTGAAAAGTGACTGTTGGCCGGCAATTCTCAAACTTTCCAGTAACAGTATTTTTTTTTAATTTTATAAGTTTATTTTTACATCATTTTGTACATTTTTTTTTCCATCTCAATTGTAATCCCCACAGGTTTCCCATCACATGTCACCCGTGTGCCATCACCAAAATCCCATGCACTTCCCTCCCCACCCCTCTTTCCAGTAACAGTATTTTAAAAGTAATGTCTTGTGATAGTTTTTACAACAGGTTCTTCAAGCCTATTTAATCTTTCTCCAGCCGGGAGGGGACCTATATTTTTCCTGATCGCCGCCTCTCTATATCCTGCAAAATCTCAAACTTCAAAAGAGAGCTTTTTTTTTTTTTTTTGTATTCTATATCCAAAGACTAATAACTTCTTGTGTTATCTTTTAGACTTTATTTTAAAGAATGGACTTAAAAATCACACTCTTCTTTGCTAGCCCCAAAGAAGTTCAGAACATGTAACTTTTGGCCTCAGGTAAATCTTTTATTTCAAACTGAGACAGGTTTTCAAGGACAGCTGCACAGTCATCGTCACAAGCATGTTAATATGTCTATTTTGCAAGGAAGGATATGCTACAAGCCATGCTATTCCTATTTCCAATAGCATTCTGGCAACAATAAAAACATTTCCAATTGCATCAGACATTAGTAAATTCTACATTCAGCCTTTGAGTAAATAAATGGTGTCTTTTAGAGAAGGAGTGGGAACAGATATAGTGAGGGCAGCTTTTAAAAGTGCCCTTTGCTCCCCCAGCCATCAGCCATCAGCCCCTTCGTTTACCACTGAACTTCTCAGCGATCTTTTGCAGTTCCAAATCCATTGCAGCTAAGTTTTCAAGTTCTTTTTCCTAGAAAATACAAAAAAAGTAGTCATTAGTTCCCAGATCAATTAATTTTATTGGAGTTCAAGGACGTCTGAACAGAAAGGGGGCTTCTTTATATGGTAGGGGCTATATGAGACACCCCCTATCAGCAGTTCTCAAAGTGATTCCTGACCAGCAACATCTGCATCACCCAGGGAACTTGTCAGAAATGCAGAGTCTCGGGCACCCTCCATGAACCTGCTAAGGCAGACTCCCTCGTGATTCTGATGCTTATTCAAGTTTGAGAAGCATCCATCTCTAGAACCAGTACTTGGAAAACACTGCTGAGGCAGGTGAAACTCTGATAATGTTACCTTCCCCGTGTAAACTTTTGACTGTCTTAGGACAGGTGAAAAAGGTAGACCAAAGCTATTATTTCTGTATCATCAGTTCTTTCCTGCCCTGGTAGAAAGTGATGATAAATTAAATGACCAGGAAGAAGATACCAGAACAGTGATTGTAAACCTTCACCGAACATGGAAACTACCTGGCTGCTTCAAAATACCCTGATGTCCAGACAGCACTCAGCACCAAAGAGACAGAATCTCAGGGGTGGGCCCCAGACCTCATTGTGAGTCTGACGTTTGGCACAGTTGAGCAGCACTACTATAGAAGGAGCTAAACAGGGATTTGGTGGGTCATTCCATTCCATTACTAGGGAGCATGTTCTTACAGCAATTAATTCCCCACCGTCTCTCCACACTAGTCCCAGCTTGTCTTAAACACAGCAAATTATTAACATTAATCAAGTTACTTTTAAACAAATGTCTCATACTGTACCTCTTCCTCTGTCAGAACTCTCTGACCAGCTCTGTCCTTTTCATCTTCTGTCAAGTGGTGAGGAATTATCTGCTCCTCAGAGTCATAGAAGTCTGGGAATTCAGCTGACTTCTTCCGGTAGTGCAGGAGCTGGTCCAGTTCAGCCACTCGGTCATACTGCCTCTTCAGATCCAACCTTGGGGCCAGGTTTCTCTTCTCGTATCCCCAGTTCACATCCTCCTCAAAAGGCTTTTTCTCCCACCAGTCATAGTTGTATTCTGGGAAGAAATTCTTCTCATTCAAGGTCAGCCCGTTTTCCTCTTCATCCTGAAGAAAGTTGTCATCCATGTTGTCTTTTCTCTCAAAATGGCTGCCCCTCCACTGGGGAGGATTATAGTATGGGCTGAGCAGCTCTCCCAGCCGCCTTCTCTTCTCAGTGATGTGATGGGGAGCGTACTGTTCATCTTGAGATCTAGCTTCTTCCCAGTCCTCCAGCCTGTCCTGCAGGTCCTCCTCCTGCTGCCATTTTGCTTGGGCTCCTTCCTCACCCAGTTCCTTACCATAGTTGAAGTAATTTCTGATTTGCTTTTTCCATTCATCTTGTGGATACCTCCTTGCCTTATCCATCTGGCTTTCTTGAGCATGATGGTATCCTCCACCCAAGAACCTTTTCTCTTCTTTATTATCTGGCATGGAATAGATACCTGGCTCACCACCCCCAGCTCTGTACAGGCGCCCTCCCTCACGAGCCCTCGCCTCCTCACTTTCTTCACTGTATGTGTGTGCCATTTTATCGAGCTCTGAGCTGACGTAGTTGCTCTTATCCTCCTCTTCCTCATTCTCTTGACCAGCAGGCCTCAGAACTCTGTACTCCTCACTTCCTCTCACCCCATAGTGTCCCCTCTGTAGGTCCTCAGGAGACTGGACAGCTGTGTAACTCCTCACTTCTTCTCCATATTCAGGTTCTTCCTCTGAAGCTCTGTAGTGGGCTGGATGGTGGTCCCTCTTGTTCCCTACTTTGGTCAAGACCACGTTCAACTCCCCAGATTCCTCAAGAGGGTGTCTCCTTTCCTTGGAGGGAGGATTCCCTCCTAGAGAGAACCTGTTAGGTCTGCTCCTTCCATGGTGGTGTCTTAAGCGTCTTTTGTCTACTTCAGGACTGGCCCCTTCCTCACTTTCCTCAGATTCTTCTTCGCTCCCAGGTTGACTTTCAGACTCTTGGGGGTGTTTCTCTTGGCTTCTTGTCTCCTCTTCACTCTCCTGGCTACTCCTCTCCTGGCTGTGTGTCTTTTCCTCAGAAAGCATAGAAGAGTGTGTGTCATACCTGGACACTAATTCTTTGTTCTTAGCTGTAGCCTGGTTTCTTTTGTTGAGAAAAGTGTTTTGTGTCTCTCCCGGCTCTTCAAGGTGGTTCTCTTCACTGTCATCTTCTCCACGCTCCTTTTTCTGATAGTTCTCTCCCTCCTGCTCCCTGTCCTCTTCCAAGCTCTTCTCAGAATGGTGTGTCTTTGCTTCTTTGGTGATTTGATTGTCAGAGGCATAGAAGCTCCCCTGGGGCCCGCCTATTTCCTCTCGACTGTGCCCACCTCCCTCTGTTGGTGTTGGGTCTTGGGTGTCCCCTTCCTCTGGGCTTCCTCCTTCCTCTCTATTGGAGGGGTTGTGGGCTTCTGAGACGTCAGCTGGGTCTCTTAACAATCTTACTTCAAACCTTGTGTTTTCATTTTCACTTTTCTCTTTCTCTTTGGTGTCTTTTCCACCTATAATACAAATAAAAGAGAGTAATCACAGCTTTTGAATCCTCTGCTTCTGTGGTCACCGCAATTCCTAAGACCCTTGAAAAATCACTTGCACATTTTTTTTAAGTTAGTGAAGAATATACTGATATTCCTTTTTTAAAAAATGATATGAAGGCTTCTTGACTGTGTTAAAAGCTAATAATAAACTCTATTTTTATTTTTTCATAAATACCCAACCACTATCTCTCATTGGTATTATCAATGATCAAACTGAAAACTAAACAGATTTATGAAATATTAGAACTTAGCGAGAGAAGAAATCTTAGAATTTGTCTAGTTCACTTTCCTCTTTTTGCAGACAAAGACAGTGACACCTCAATGGGGATGTAATTAGGACTAATTTTTACATGTTTGCTTTAAGTAAGGATTAAAAATCAGCATTGTGTAAATAGCTCTAACTAGAATCCAACTAGATAAAGCTAATAGCCACAATGGGAACTTCGGGATTCAAAGGAGAAGTTAATTTTTTAATTTATTAATCAGACTTTCATTATCCAATTAACTATGTAGAATCAACCCAACAGTGACTAACAATATAATTCAGTAACTGGTGATAAAAATGAAAATATTTCTTCCCTGAGAAGACATTTCTTTCCCTCAGCAGCAAAAAGCATAATTTCTTCCTTCACTCAGGTCACATCCACCCAATTTTCGCTCAGAGCTCAAGGATAAACTTCAGTGTTTTGTGTTACCTTTGTGCTTCACAAGTCAACAGTAGATGGAATAGCTGATATTTTAACTGAATGCCATTTCCTTTCCTGTTTTCCAGATGTCAATTACCCTTTCACTAAATCCTCCTTAATTCAAGGGCATTCCATGAAAGGAGATATGCAGTTAACACTGTCTGATTATTAGCTGGAAAGGTTTCAGACTCAATTTTTCACCAAGTTCAAACAGAACTCTCAAAGCCAAGGCCATTCTCAACTATGGGTCCACATCTGTATCACTCTTTTGGGGAAACTCTAGCCCTTTGTGGCTATCGAGTGCTTGAAATATGGCTGATCCAAACTGGACCATGTTATAAGTGTAAGATACCTACTAGCTTTCTAAAAATGAAAGAAAAATGGAAAACATCTCAGTTTTGCATACTCACTATATATTGAAATGATGAAATTCTGAGTCAGAAGTATATACTGTTAATATATTAGGTGTATAAAACCTATATATTAAATAAAATGTATTACTAACATGAATTTCTACTGTTTCTTTTTTAAAGTGGTTACTGAAAAATTTGCAGTGATATCTGTGGTTCACATATTTCTATAGGATGGCACTAGTGAGACAATTTGAACATATATTTGCAAAAGGTAAGAAAGCATTTGTTTTGTGAAAATGTCCAAGAAATAGTGGATGGATCTTTGTCCTTCGCCATGTAAAGCCCAGGCTGGCAGGGCAACGGCATTCTCACATTTCAGGAGGCAACTGAGTGTCCTGGACCTTTTGCATCCAGACACCTGAGGGCTGGCCTCTGACCAGTGCATTTGCCCTTGAAGGCCAATACCAGGGTGGGGATGACCCAATGCAAAAAGCAGCAATTCAGTGTTTGCACAGATAATGACATCATTCTGAGAGCCAGCAAAATAGTGCTGCAGAGCAGAGAGAAGCTCAGCTCTCTGGGGCCAAAGCCATCTGGCCACTTTCCTACTAATGCCTGCTGATCAGTAACAGAAGTTATTTTGTTTCCTAGTTAAGTGTGTGCTGCCTGTAGCAGCTTGTGCTTGAGGTTTTGCACTTCCTTCTAAATTTAGCTTTAAGCCCTCACAGGTGAGATCAGAAGGCTGTGATTGCTGCACACAGTAATTGTCACTCTAAAATCAAGGTGCGATGCTTACCCTCACTTTCACATAAATGGCGGAAATGCACTTTGCTTCCCTCCCTGTCATGTTGTAAGGATGACGGGACCAACAAGGTCAAAAAGATCCTCTACCTGTTAAGAAATTGGACTGTATATTCCCTTCGGTCAAGCCATGGAACACTGATTCTTTCCTACTCCCCAGTTCCTTTGGCCAGTCAGTGTATTCTGTCTCCAGAGATGTGCTAGCAAGGGTGGGCCAGGGACTAGAAGGGAAACTCCGAGAAGGAATCATCTCTCCTGTTGCTGAAAGCTCCACCATCTTCTGAGCAGCTGATGGCAGATCAGCAGGGGAGAAAAAACTAGAATAGTACAAAAGTCACAAATTGGTTTGACAGAACTGGGTCATCTGACTTTTATTGGTTTCTCTGGGGCTCTCTCAACAGACAAGAAAGATCCCAGGTCATAAGCAGAGATGAGCAGAGGCCAGAATCCAAAGGCCACAGCTGAATCTATCTGGCAGGCAAGGAGACTCCTATTTTCAACAGCTCTTCCAAAGCAGGTGTGTTCCCTTTGGTGACCTAATGTGACAGGCCCTACCCCTTTGCATCCTTCCAGTAAACAAAGAAAGGGAAAGAAAGACAATGAGATGGGTTTGCCTAGAGGAGAGCCTCTAGTTCCTACCTGGAGAAGCTCTCTGCTCTCACCCTTTTCCTGTAGTGTCTGTAAAAGTTTGAGAGAAGTTCAGGTGTACAGGTTGGGAGTAGTAACGGAAGCTTCCTACTACTATTCATGAGGACCCTGCGGGCCTTGGCCCCCACCCCTGAAGCCCCCAGTGGTGGATTGAGTCTCCCTGGTTTAGTCTTTTGGCCACTTGCTAATACTTGTTTTCACCACTTTAAGTACGAGTGCAGTGCTTGTGTACAATAGCAAGAGAGGACTGGTCTGCAGTGAGAGATTTTGAAGATGGAAAAAAAAAGAAATCCACTATCCCCAACCTCATTAAAAATCAAAAAACAGAGATAAGATGTCAAAAAAATCAGTGGTTTTGAGGCTTGTTGGAATCAGTTTGACTTCATAAGTAAGAAAGACTGTATAGTTTTGTGAAACTGACCTCAGTGTCAACTCTCAATGGATACTGATCCATCACTGTTGAAATTTTCTTTTCAATGGAAGCTGTTTTCTATAGAAAACATCCAAGTGTAGACTCAGAAGGCCACTGCTCTGACTTGGATACTCCAATTCTACCCTTCTCCTTCCAGTTCTCAGGTCCAAACACCTGCTACCATTTTAACAAGCTCTGCATTAAAAGTGATCCAATATTTAAATCGCCTTCTATCCTTCCATCTTCCAACACTCCCTGAACGCTTAAACCACTGGCTTCATCTAATCTTAAATAAGCACTCCCCACTCTCCCTCCACTCAATGAAAAGCAATTCTAAAATTTCAAACTCTGGAACCAAGCCATTTAAGAACTGATGGATACCTCAAAAGCTATCCTCAAATTCAATCCCCTCATTTTACTTTGAGGAAATAAGCTTGAAGGGGAAGGGACTTCCTCTTGATCACACAGTGTTAAGTGGAAGACAGGACTAGAAGCCATATCTTCCATCTCCTCAGATACTGCTCTTATCAGTACTCTTCCCACTGCATTATCCTCCCCTTTATGCCTCCCCACAGTTCATCTGGAGGTCAACGGTAAGATGAGTGGAGTGAGAGGGAACAGGGATAAAGATCTCCTGTCAGGCAAGACACTTACTCTTATTCAGGACTTGTCGGCACTCAGGAGTGATGGGTGGAGCATTGGACTTCGACAGCGCATTTGAGAGGACCTCGATGATGCAGCGAGTCACCTGGGGGGAAAACCCAAAAGTACTTTGGCAAAGGTAGTATCCCTGGGGCGACAGATTACCCAAAGCCACTGTCGAGAAAGATTTGGCTATGTGACCTGTGCTAATGCACGGTCCTGTGGCAAGAATGTAGACTTATAGGTGCATAATCAAATCGCCCAGGCTTTTGCACAGCGTAATGCATGAGGGCATTGGATCAAAACCCCAGGAAAAAAAAAAATAAGCAACCATTTTTGAATAGGAAGACGGTGAGAATGCAGGAGAGGCAGCCCTTGCCCCGATTCTTTCAGGGAAAACATCTGGTTTTGTAAGGCTATGCTGTGGATTTTTAAATTGTTTTTGTTTGATTTGATATAATAAAGAGGCGGAAACTCTAGAGTCTACATATCAGTCTAAATTCTAGACTTCCATTTCAACTTACCACTTCTTCATTGTGGTTCCTGTTATCCACTGGCATAGAACTGACAGCTTTCCAGGAGAAAAAGAACAAGAAATGACTTGAGTTGGTTTGGGAAAGCCATATGAACTAAAACATAAAATCACCCCTACCTCCCAAGCATTACCTACAGAGCAGTCAGAGTTAGCTGAGTAGAGTGGAGATAGTTAAGATGATTATCTCAGGGACCATGTTTGCCCCAAATGTGCACACACACACACACACACACACACACACACACCATCCATACAACTGTTATCCCTGGCAATGCCTTCAACATGACTGGGAAATGAATACTACATTATATCCAGTATAAATCAAATCCAGATCACAGCAAGGGAAACCTCAGGGGTACTGATAATTCTGTTTGAAAACTGCATATCATACTTCATTGAAAAGTTGAAGCAAACCTAACTTAAATGAAACCACAGTGCTCTCCTCAACACTTCTGCTTACACAAAATGAGTAGATTTGTGATTTCCTCTGTTCTTCCGATGCCCAAGAAAATATTCCCCTTAAAAATTATTTCCGGCCCTCCCTGGTGGCGCAGCGGGTTAAAGCACAGCACTGAGAAGCTAAAGCCGCTTCCGCATGAGTTCAATTCCCGCCTGCCCCGGAGGTGACCACATGGTGTGGCAGACCTCTCCTGACCCGCCTGCTGCTCCCCTCAGCAGTGTACTTCATAGATCTGCCTGTTCTGTTCCCCACTCTGTCTCTGGTGAAGCCTCTCACCGCCCCTGAGCCTCTGGCCTGTACCCCAGTTCTGTATGCACAAATAAATAAATCTTTAAAAAAAAATTACTTCCTTCACAAAGACATAGTTACAACTCATTTCCATAAATAATTATCTCATGTTTACCTTCAGGTATTTGTGTGAACAAGCTCACCTATGAGTCTATATCACTGTTTTGTTTCTCTTCCCCCGTTATCTGCACCCATGTAAATAAAGAACATGGGAAGTGTCTGATTCTACTAGTACAGCATCAAGTACAAGCAAATAGGTGTTTCACAACTGACTTCTAAAGATATTTTAAGAGTACTTTTAATTTATATAAATTAAAGTTCACATAATTCTGCTTATTTTAGACCAGCAGTTGAAGTGCATTTGTCTGTTTAGGAAATGCTTCAGGTGATTTTAACTTCCTCAGTGTCATTTTTTCTTTCAAAAATTTTTTGATTCTTTTATCTTTAACTCTGTTCTGTCTATGGCCTTTCCATTCCAGAACCTCAAAGAGCATACTTCTGCCAGCAATCCCTGATGAAGACACGGCAATTATGAGTAGAGAAGCTCAGGTTGCCCAGATGGGAGAAGAGTCAGCTGGAGCAAGAGCAAAAATCTCAGACAGCAAAAATGGCAGTTATTCAGATGCAGTTTATTTATAACCAGCAACCTGACCTTTCCTCCCCAAATGTTTGCTCTTCAAGCCTCTTTAACTTACCCTCTTGCTATCAGTTACTATATTATAGATCAATCTAGAAATTAAACACTTACTCATTTACTCACTAAAGTCTCCCTTTCAAATATGACCTTGTACCTATTGCACTTGTTTCAAGATACAAAGTTGTTCAATATGTTAAAGTCATTTGTCAAAATGTTTGAGAAGTGACAATGGAGATATGAAGACCCCACACTCCTCATGAAATCAGTTCAGACAACATATGGATGGCCCACCGATAGCACCTGGAGTCCAATGTGCTGGGCCATTATTTCATCCCCCAAATGACTCATGTTTGGGAACATTCCACATTGCTATCTCTTTCTGCCTAAAATCTATAAAATCTTCTGGAAAGAAATAATTGAGAGATTACTCCTTTAAAAAAAAATTGAGCTTTACTAAGCCTTCTTTGGCAATGAAGTTTCTTGCTAATCATTTTTCTCTTTTTTCACAAATGCAAAATAGTTACCTTTATTAACTACTGATAACTGCTGAAGTGTTAACCATCACCAGATTTGGGGGAATGAAAACATTTTTCTCTTTTATTATGCTTAACAATTTCTAACTCATATCTGATATTACAGTTTTATTTCTCAGATTGGGGCCTTACAGACAAATGTTTGATAGAAAAGAATTCCTTTCCTTGTGAAAATACATTATGCATCCAAGTGCCACTGTATTTCTTTTAATAGATCTGTGACAATAAAGTAATAACAGACATTGAATCTCCTAGTCGTTTAACTATTTTTACATAAAGTAAGATTCAAAGGGCACAAAAGGAAACTTAGTGATAATGTTAAATGTGAAGTAGTCAAATGGTAGGAAAATTTTCAAATATCTTATGATATAACTCAAAATGACTTACAGTATTGATACTTCATAAGACTATCAGTAATTAAAGATTGCCAATACAGCTATAAATTGCAAGCTGAGCAAGTTCTTCCAAATGTACAAGTCATCCTACTTAGTACAATAAAAATACCATGTAGCTACTTATTAATTTCTAGAGTATCTACTGTAAAAGGGTGTGGATCTCCCTTCAGAAACCCTTAAGAGTAGGAAACAAAACATGGTTTCCTAAGTTTCCCCCAGTCCTGTGATTTTGCTAAATAACAAGTACTGCTTGAAGGTTACATGTCTCATTTTCGAGTATTTGAGGGAGGCAGAAATGGAGAATGACGTGGGAATGAAACAGGGTTTCTTTCTGGGTTGATAAAAATATTCTGAAATTTGAGAGTGATGAAGGTTACACAATATGAATATACCAAGAATCACTGCATTATACATTTACAAGAGTGGATTTTATGGAGTGTGGGTTATATCACCCAGTAATTTAAAAAAAGAGTCTCCATTTTTAACTGCTACTAAAATATGAGCCCTTATCAAAATATAGTCTTGCATAATGAGCTATACAATTTTATCATTATAATTAAATAAATCTCACGACATTGTTTTTGTGACCTACAGCACAATGTGTAGCATAGCTTTCTAGAAATATCTTTGACTAGAAATGACTGAACATATTAATGTGGCTCTGTTTAATTAAATGAAGAACATGGACAGGCAATTTATAAGAATGGCATGAATCTTAGAAGATTCTGAACATATGTAGCAAGAAATAAAATAAATCACCATAGATTTTCATTTGGATACAGTAAGTGTTGTCAATCAAAGTTTGATATTCATGGGTGGCAATACCTCAATTCTAGTTAGGAACCTCTGGTAAGAACTGTATCCTGTGAGGTCATTAAAACAGCTAAAGGAAGTCTGTTTAATCTTGTCACGGCATATCTACTTTTCAATACTCTCAATATTTACAGGACTTTACTTCTACACACACGCACACATACATTTCACCCCAAATTTCCAGAGATCATTTCTTGGCTATTCAGAATAGTTTAAAAGATTAATTCCACCATCTTCCACACATAAAAAGGCACCATCAAATGTCCACCTCCATTGAAGAAAACATTTTTACTATTCCAAGCATATTTTCGTTGTTACTTTATACTCTAGTTATTTATCTGGAGCCAACAGTTGAAATGTCTACTGCAGTTTCCATTCATAATTTTAAAATGGATCGAGTGTGAAATCACCTCTCCCCAAAGCTGGAAATTCAAGTTACAGAAAATATTAAATTTGTACACACATCTACATAAACAAACATATCCACATATACACACTTGTTAAGAAGAAATATATAAACTGTATCATATATGTTCAGAACTTTTATCTCATCGTGTTTTATTCAAAAACAATAATAAGGGAATTATGCAGGTACTGACAACACATATAATCTTGTCTCTCTGTGGCCATCTGACTTTAAAAAAGTCAAACAAACACCTACAAATATAGAATCAGATTATAAGAGTGTCTCTCTAGACAGGTTGAGAGAGACACGTTAACACTTTAGAAGTGGGGTTTCTTAGGCTCAAAGCATGCTTTCTTCCTACCTACAGAAAAAGTCAGATGTGAAAAACTAAGACTCCTGTGGGTTAGGAAACCCTCTTTCTTTTTTTTCCAAGTCATACAGTGGACGGGGAGTTAAGAGAAAAGAAGAAATTAAGAATCTCAAGCGAAAGGGAAAAGCCTTCCACTCAGCCTTCACTCTCCCGATAGCCGCCAGTCAACTGCCTAGAGCTGCCGGGAAAAAGACAGGGGCAGGCGCTGTCCGCGGTGCTGAGCGGCCCGCCGCGCTCACTCACCAGCCACCAACGCTGCTCCCAGGAGGCCGAGAAGCACTGCCGGCTGCATGACCCGATTCTCCCGAATCTGCGCGAAGAGGATGGACCCGTGCAACGGGATGTGAATGGAAGGTGAGACAAAGATGCTCCAGGAAAGCAGCGGTGTGTCCTGGTCCCCGTGTGGCGAGATTGGCGCAGGCCCGCCTCTTTTAAAGGGCAAGCCGCGGCCGCAAGGGCTGGAGGGGCGGGCAAATAGGAGGCGCCCCCCCTCTTCCCCGCTCAGTCCTGACGTCACCAAGTGGCCCCGGGGGTGGCAGAGCTTGTAGGAGGAAATTCACGCCAGTCCCAGTCCAGTCGCCAGGGTGCTTTAGGGCTGGAAGGGGGGTGAGGGGAGGGAACTAAAAGGGAGGAAGAAACGGAGGAGTGAGGGAGATAGTGCAAATCTGAGACCCTGGAGAAAAGATTGAGGTCCAGTTCAGATTGCCCAGTCTTGCTCCTCATCTACCTCCCTTCTTTTCCCCAGCCTCCTACAAGTCTAAAATGCTTGTTTGAGGCTGTGTATAGTATGTGTTTCTGTCAAGAGTGTGTGCATGAGTAAGTGTGTTTTGTGTCATCACTACCCAGGGGAGGTAAGGCTATTGTTAATAGAGGAATAAATGGTGGTTGTGTGTGTGTGGGTGGGTGGTGGTGGGGGGTATGTGATGAGAAAGGGAATGGTGGCTTTAAAGATAAAGGGTGCGTGATTACAGACCATAGATATGCCTCATCCAAGAGGGGAAAGGGAAAGAAGAGGGAGGGACTATGGTGGAGAGGCTATGATGAAACACTATGGGTGCTTGACTTAGGGTGACCACACCTGAGGGGAAATTTTCTATATTGTCAAAATATTAAAAGGATGTAAAACAGTCATACTTCATTAATAAACAAATACATTGATTTAGAAACTAAAAAAGGGGGGAAGGGGGAAAACTGGAGACTAATGGAATCCATTGTCTTTCAAAGTTTTGGTCTTAAATTCATGTACCTATTCATGATTCATTCATTCCATTAGCTAGCTTCTTTCTATCAGATACCTATATATGCACTATGTGTGACACTCTCCAAACACATAACAAAGGGCACAATTTTAAAAACCACATGCTACAGGGCCCTCCCTGGTGGCGCAGCGGGTTAAAGCACTGCACTAAGAAGCTTAAGCCACTTCCTCGTGAGTTCGATCCCCACGTGCCTGGGAGGAGATCCACATGGCATGGCAGACCTCTCCTGACACGCCCGCTGCTCCCCTCAGCAGTGTATTTCATCAATCTGCCTGTTCTGCTCCCCACTCTGTCCCTGGTGAATCCACTCACCCTCCGCATCTCTGGCCTGTACCCCAATTCTGTATGAATAAATAAATAAATCTTAAAAAATAAATAAATAAATAAAAACCACATGCCACAGAGGGTTTACTATAAGTATTTCCCATTTATCTTCCCAAAAGTTCCCTAGTTCCCTCTGCTTAGTCAACATTACTTAATTTTTAGGTTTATTTTAGAACAAATGTAACTGCATCTTCTGTTGAGTGGCTGCACCATATTAATTGGCTGCAGAACTTATTCAACCAGCCCCTTTTCTGAGAGATGTTTATTTCAGTTGTTAACCCTTTGGTCTTCAGTTACTCCAACAGAGCCATAATCTCTAGTGTTTCACACAGCCCTGTGCTTTGAAATTGAAATCATTTTTGTAATTATGTGTGAGAAAAAGGTGAAAACCTATTCTAGGATATTTTTGGTGTGGACTCTCACAGTTTAATGAGGGATCAGGAAAAAGCAGATAAACTCTACTGCATATATGAAGCAATTCAGAATTTTATCTGGTAATACAGAGAATAGAGTGATCTGCCATTTAGGGTCTCTTTCAGAGAAGGCAGATGGCTGCATGCATCGATAAAAGGAGATTACAGTGTCCTTTTCCTGAAAATCAATCTATCTCAAATTCTTTTTGCATGTATTGAATAGCTGACTCCATCTTCCTAAAAAGACTCAGATTTATTTCACCAAGACCATAGTCATAGGCTATTTAAAGAAGAGTCGTAAAAAGTATATTAAAGAGACAACTAGTAAAAGTAAATAAATGTTGCATCAATTCTAATTTCCTGATCTTGAAAACTGTATAGTGATTATGTAAGCTGTCCTAGTTCTTAGGAAATATGATGAATATCTGGTGGTAAAGGGTGCCATTTGTGCCACTTAGTATCAAATATTTAAGAGAATACATAAATATAAATTTAGAGAGAAAGAAAAAATACCAAGGCAGCCATGGCAAAGGTAAGTTTTTTTTAATACTATTTTTGCATTTTCCAAAAATCTGTTATCATTTTAAAACAAATGGAAAAGAACGTCATTGGCTCAAAAGAACCTGCTTAACACCTCTGTAAAGCAGTGGGTACAGAAAAGGAAGGTGTTGAATGAGGACCTTTCCTTGAATGTTAATCTGGGAGAGATTCCTCTGCTAAAGTTATATAAGGTTCCAACTGCTCTTTAAGATGCACTGATTGCCAGCAGCACTCTGAAATTGCCTCTTTCTAGGAACGTCTGCATTTAAGTTTTCCAGCAATTTCCCTCTAATCTTGCCCCTTTGAAAAATCAGGGTTAAAAATGTTGACATCATTTTGTGGCTTCATAGATTAGGCTTTGACTAAGTGTATTACTTACCAAGAAAAGTCTTTTTGTTATTGACCATCAAGCCACCACCAGATCCTATACTCAGACTTATCTTTCTTTTATTCTCATCATTTTACAAAATTATTATTATTTTTCCTTTCACATTTAGTAGTCCATGAACCAGAAAATAAAAATAAAGCCTTTGTAGGGAACATTTCTCAGGAATTCACTCAAAGTACAATGAAGGAGGAAAATCAACATTTTCTTTAGGAGCTAGATTTAAAATAAGCATAGTATGAGAAAGGGGTGCAGTTACAATCTTTGCCATATCAACACCTAATTGTCATCCTTTCATAATCTATAGTGTCACGTCGGGGTTGGGAGACAGGGGAACATGTCCATATATGCTGGAAATGTTTCGAGACTCTTCCACAACAATTTCTTTATCACAAGAACTTTTTAATAAGTCTTCCTATCTGGTGGAAAGGTCTTGGGAAGACCATGATTTTCTTTAGAAGGGTATTTGTCATTTTGGGCCATTTGCATTTTCATTAAATTTTAGTACCATTTACCAACTTTGATGAAAAAAATCTGTTCGGATTTCAACAGAAATTATATCAAATCTTTAGATCAACCTGGAATTTTTACAATATAGGGCTTAGCTTTTTGATTACTCATAATATTCTGAACATAATTCTGTCTCAAGTGATACAAAATACTATTACCCATAAGAAAAGAAGACATAAGGAAGATTATTTCACAGGAATGCACTCAAAGAAGAATTAAGGAAGAAAACATAGCTAAGAACTGAGTTTATTATAAGAACATGGTTTATTATAAACCATGGCTTTGTACATGATTCATGGAATAGGTGGTCCATCAAGGTCCAACCAGAAAAATAAAACCAACCAGAGAAAATTTAATATAGGAAACTATACATGGGGATTAGAAAAACTGAAAGAACAGGTAAGATAAGAAAATCAAGAGATTAGTGACTGCAGACAACTGATACACCCCTGTGGAATGGCAGGATAAAGGAAGCATGTGCTTTGCTGGAGCCCAGAAAGAGGACTGGAGTCACCTGGCAAGGGAGGGAATCTCTGCAGTTTAGGAAGGTGGGGTTTGGGGCCATGGAAGAAGTGTTTTCTGGAGCTGGCGTCACAGTAGAGAAGGAGTCACTACTAGACACACATCGCCCTCTTTCCAAGAAAAAGGGAGAAATAAATCTCCTGGGCTTTTCTTCTTTTGGTGCTAGTAACTTTTTTTTTTTTAATTTATTTGTGCATACAGAACTGGGGTACAGGCCAGAGGTTCAAGGGCGGCGAGAGGCTTCACCAGAGACAGAGTGGGGAGCAGAACAGGCAGATCGCCTAAGTACACTGCTGAGGGGAGCAGCGGGCGGGCCAGGAGAGGTCTGCCACGCCATGTGATCACCTCCGGGGCAGGCGGCAGCCGGGAATCAAACTCATGCGGAAGTGGCTTTAGCTTCTCAGTGCTGTGTTTTAACCCGCTGCGCCACCAGGGAGGGCCCGGTGCTAGTAACTTTTAATGGTCAAACTTATCTTGCAATGATTGTTAAGGAAGTATGGGAAATAGACTGTGCAGAAGCTAAGTCCTTCCGTGATACAGAGCAGAGGAAGAAACTGAAGAGCATGTATCTGAAAAACACCTAGTAGGACAGATAGTGATTTTAGATTTTTCTCCCAAAATTCATTACTTGAGTTCATTTGCAAATGTAAATGTGTTGAACACTGATATTGGTATATTTCTTTGACTACAGCAAATTATACAGTTGATTCCAACATTAATGGCAAAAAGAAATACATTCCAGGGGCCTTCCTGGTAACCTAGGTTAAGTCTCAGCACCATCATTGCTATGGCCTGAGTTCTGTCCCTGGCCAGGGAGCTGACCCATATGGCACAGCAGACTCTCCTGTTCCACGTACCACTCCCCTCAGCAGTGTATTTGTCAGTCTGCCTGTTCTGCTCTCCATTCTGTCTCTGGTGAATCCTCTTACCACCCACACCTCTGGCCTGTACCCAAGTTCTTGTATGCATAAATAAATAAATCTTTAAAAAAATAAAATAAAATGAAACCCACCAAATTTTGAAAAACGAAGCTCCATAGAGCTTGTATGTGATATATATTAACGAAAGTTAACATTTCTCAAGAGAAGAACTACAACATTTCTCAAGAAGCAGAACTACAATTATACAGGTGTGACAAAACAGAACGCTCCTCTTCAATTGGAACCATGTAGAAAATGTGATCTGTCAGGTTAACAGATTCACTTATTTGTTTATACCCTAGGAAGAAAACAAAAAACTAGGCAGGTTAACAATCAATAGTTTGGTTCTGATAAGTTGGTAAGACTGTCACATTCTTGACAAGTTTGCTTGTGGTAACCACATATCACATGGTAAAGGTCTAGATGGAGGGTTTTGCTGGCCCCTGATTTTATCCCTTTTTTAACACACACACTCACATACAGACACAAACATAGCCGCTGCTTCTTTACCCATTTCCATTATCACTCCAGAGACACCGGCTTGATTTCCATTAACGAAGGTATGCATTCCTA